GTTACTCTGGATAGTCACTGGTTGGTATGAAATTTCAATGGTTGCAATATTAGTTGCTGGTAGCTACGTCAATGCAATGGTTGCATTCGCAAATCAATGGGTGCATAAGAAGAAAAAGGTTGCTACTGAAAATATATGTTTGCTATGGGAAATCACTTGTTATGGAAATCAATGGTTGCTAAAGAAAGTCACTGGTTGCTATGAAAAATTACTGGTTGCTGTGGAAATTCACTGGTTGCTATTGAAAGTCAATGGTTGCAATGAAAAGTCAATTGTTGCAATGGAAAGTCAAAGTCATTGTTTGCCATTGAAAGTCACTGATTGCAATGTTAAGTGTTAATGGAAAGTCATGGTTGATGCAAAAAGTCTCTGGTTGCTTTGAAAAGTCAATGGTTGCAATGTTGGTGAATAGTTACTTTTGAAAGTAAATGGGTGCAAAGACATTAAATGGTTTATATGGCACGTTACTGGGTGCTTAAGAAGTCTGTGGTTGCTAGGGAAATTCAGTTGTTGATAAAGAAGTCACTGGTTGATATGTTAAATTATTGGTTGCTATGGAATTCAATGGTTTACTAAGGAAAGTCAGTGGTTGCTATGGAAGTCAGTGGCTGCTGCTGCTGAAAGTCACTGGTTTCTATGGGAATGTATAGTTGCTTTAGAAAGTCAATGGTCGCTATGGGTGTTCATTATTACTTTGGAAAGTCACTGGTTGCTATGGGCTGTCAAATATAAGGTAAATAAAAGATCCCTCGGGGTGGGACCAATTTTAACTCTTAGGCTATGTATTGAATAATTTTTGTTGAGGGCCACTAGACTTCGTATCATGTTAAATACCGTATAGCCCCTGCAGTATTCAAGTAGGAGATTTTTTAAAGTATTACTATAACAGGAAAAGTACTGACCCAAGGGCTTTAATTTAAAAAAAAACGTTGATTTTCCCTCATTGTTAAATGCAAAAGAAAAAAAATACAACTAAGCTCTAGCTTTAGGTTTCTTAAAAAGTTTTCCTATATACATACAAGGTAAAGGAATAAACCATCTGGGCGTGAGTGGCTATAATTTGAAAAATTTGTAGAAGTCCACTTAAAATGTTTCATACCAAATGTTTAAGCTTTAGCCTCTTTAATAAAATCTAAAAAGATTTTTTTAGTATATACATATAAGGATAATGATTGACCCTTCGGGATTGAACTTTGATGTCAGCTGACCTAGATTTTGACAAAGTGACTTACTGTCTTATAATTTGATGCTCAGTCATGAAATTTGGGCCAAGCAAAATATGACCTTGACCATCAAATTTACAAGACTCAACTTCATTATGGCAAAGTTCAATTGTACAAAAATCGTCTTTTACTACATTGCTATTTAGTGTTTTATTAATGTGTTGGCATAGCATTTTTCACAAATGTAACCTTGTTTTTGTGCTTGAACTTAAATGAAATGAGAAATGAGCTTAAACAGGGTTAAGTCTAATGTTTAAGTTTTATTAAACATCATTGCTTGTTTCATAGAATTGTACTAGATAACAAACAGAATTTAACATTTTTTTTTGTTATTTCATTTTTTGTCAGTTATTTATGAGAGTGTCCAGTTGGAATAAATAAAAGAAATAAATTCAATGTTTTTTTTTTTATACTTTGCCTTTATAGCTTAACTATCAGGTATTGGACCAAAGTTATTCCAGTTATCACTGGCATAGCACTGGATCCGAAAAACTACTGCAAGAATTTACTTGAAAGTCCACATTGCATCTTCAGAATTACTAGTAAAAGTCGCTATTCAAAACATAAAATTAACTGACTTTCTCCTTTTTATTACTGCAAATGTTTTGTTGTTCATAAATAAACACTGAGAATAACATAACACACTGTCCATCAGTTTTTACTATCTCATCTGAGTGCATGGTGTTTGAGAGGGACAGTAATGTACTATTCCTGTATGGACATCTTGTATTTAATCACTCACTCAATACATTTGACTAGATTGCACAATATGACCTATACAAATAAATTGTCATGGTTTGTTGCAAATGAAGGCAAGGGAGTTTTTTTTTTAAGTTTAACATTTAAAAAGAATTTTGTTAGAGACTACATGTCCAGTATTTTGGTATTCTAGTAGTGTCCCCGTAGTGTCATATTGTTTTGCAACATGTTTTCTGTTGGTTCATTCGTCCAATATTGTTTCCAATCAATAACTGGATTATGCAGAGACCAATTATCCTACAAATTCAAAGGTATATTGCTCTTGGACTGAAGATGATTCTCATTGATTTGAGGTCATGGAGACAAAGGTCAAGATCACATTGACCTAGTAATCACATTGACCTGGTATCTCAATAGTTTCCGACCAATAACTAAATATTTCATGGTCACTAGGCTTAAACATCGTAGGTGTATAAGTCTTTGCCAGTGGCTTTGCCATGATTCCTGTCGCTTTTTTGGATTGCAAGGTCAAAGGTAAAGGTCCCATTGACCTTGCCTGTCAAATCGGTTTTGACTAATAACTTTACAGCCCATTCTCATTCTTGGATGTATTTGTTTAGGGCAGTTGATGATCCCCTTTGCCTTTAAGGAGGCTGCCTCAAAGGCCAATGCCACATTGACCTTCTATACCAAAACTGTTTCCAACCAATTACCCCACAACTCATGGCCCCAAGCTCTCACACCTCATATACGCATTTGTCATGGGCATTGACTGTAGATGAAACGAATTATTTTTGGAATTGAGGAGTCCAATTTCAAGGTAAGAAAGTGTTACCTTGTAATGCCCAGGGCAGGGCAAATATTGACCCTAGAGGCATGATTAATATCAGTTTTGTCGAGGTTCACACGACATTACTACATGCTTAATACCTAAGCTCTGACCATTGTAGTTTCACACATGTCGTAAATGTATTTTCCTATATAAGCCCATACAAATAAAGTAAAATTTTCCTTCGTTCGGTTCAAAAGATACAGAGCGGACGGAAAAATTGAAATTCATACATAATGACTAAGTGTGACCTTGACATTGACCCGTAGAAAGACAAACCTGTATTCGTTGTATCTTTTTATGCCAAGTAGTTTCAATTTTCTTCCATTTCCACCCCTTTGTTCAAAAGATGCGGAGAGGACACGAAATTGCAAACAGACGGACGAATAGACTGAAAAAAGGATGGACTGCCAGGTGCAAAACAATATACGACGAAGTTGTTTCGGGCTATAGAAACGTTATATGCTATATTGTTTGAGAAAAGAAACAAATAAATTTAAATGAATTGTATATTTCTATTTGAATATATACCATGTTGATATATAATAAAGCAACCCATATTAGATCTTTTTATGCCCCCGAATGGCTGCATATTAAAATTGCACCGTCCGTCTGTCTCACTGTCTGTCTGTATGTCATAACTTCATTCGTGTCTAGACTGTAACTTTTTCATAAATTGAAAGATTTTGAAATAGCTTGGCACAAATGTCTACCACATCAATGTGTTGCGTCCAACAATTTCGTCCCTACCTCAAAGGTCAAGGTCACGCTAACATTTTAAAGTTTCGCATTATCACAATTAGAGTTGATAGGTACACACTTTCGTTTCGGACTGTAATTCATGCATGAAAGGATTTTTAAATAACTAGGCATAAATGTCAACAACATCAACACGATGTGTCCTGTCCAAGAATAACGTCCCTACCTCAAAGGTCAAGGTCACATGTCCATTTTGAAGTTTCACATTATCATAGAGTTAATAGGTACATGTACATACAATCGTGTCCGGGGTGTAACTTAGTCATGCATTGAAGGACTTTAGAATAACCTGGCATATATATCTACCACACCAAGACCATTTGTCGCGTCTAAGAATTACGTTCATACCTTAAAGGTCATGGTCACACTAACGTTTTGAAGTTTCACATTATCTAAGGATTTAAAATAACTAGGCATATATGTCTACCACATCAAGATGATGTGTTTCGTTTAAGAATCACCTTCCTACCTCCAAAGTCAAGGACACACTACCATATTGAAGTTTACTTTATCACAATTAGAGTTTATAGGTTCACACATTCGTGTCCGGACTGTAACTTTGTCATGCATCAAAGGGTTTTTAAATAACTTGGCATAAATGTCTACCACATAAAGACGACATGTAGCGTCCAAGACCCATGTCCCTTCCTCAACGGTCAAGGTCGCACTTCTAATTTGAAGGTACTCATTCTCCCAAGAAGAGTTTAAAGATACACATTCATGTCCGGACTGTAACTTTTGTCATGCATGGAAGGTTTAAAAATACATTGGCACAAATGTCTACCACATCAAGATGACGTGCTGCGTGTAAGACATATGTTTCTACCTCCAAGTTTACTCTAATAGTTTTAAGATACATCTGGTCATAAGAAGAGTTTTAAGGTACACATTAGTTTCATAACTGTAACATTGCCATGCATTGAAGGATTTTAAAATAACTTGGCATAAATGTCTTCCACATCAAGATGATGTGTCACATTCAAGACCCTTGTCCCAAGGTGTTAAGTTTGCTATAAATAGCACTTCATTTCACAAGAACAATATTAAGCAATTAGTTACTTTCATTCTCTTTTCTTCTCATAATACATGTACCTGCCTTTTGAGGGGGCATTCGTGACTTGCGCGACAGATCTTGTTTCATACAGTATTTACTGCTGACATTTGGCAAAGGCGGATATGAAACTGGAGGCAACTAAAATGGATATGGTTAAAATATGATAAACCCTTTTCCACTGATATTTTTATTGATTGCAGTGTTTACAATATAAATGGAATCAAACAATAAAAGTCCGTTGAATGTTCATCAAACGTAATTAATTGCCGGCAATTCGTAGAGATATCTGCAAATGACGTTTTTAACCTCTATATTCTGCCAGATGGTAACACATTCTGATAGTATGACCGGTGCCGACATCGATCATCTTCGCCATCTGATCAAAGTAAGTACTGTCCGCAATAAAATTGTTGTAAAAATCCCTCAAAGTATGAATGATTGAAAGATGGGCAAGTTCAATAAGATTTAACTGCAAATGACGTCTACCGAGCTGAAATGAGAAAAAGATAAAAGTAGTATTTATAGTTGCCGAAAAATAAAAACAAGAAAAAAGATATACATATATTATCTTGAATCAAGAAGACATATAAATTGGTTATATCTATGTTATTGTTAATCAAACACATAATGTACCAAATCTAATATTTGGCTGAAAAGTATCATACATGCACGCGATGTGTGTAACAGAGGAAAAACCAACAGACAATGTTTGGAGATGTAAATTATGAATGCGTTTGTATCGATGCTTGTCGGTGATTCAAGTATCGTCCACAATTTATGTCAATTTAGCCACTCAGACGACACTTAAGAATTAGTTTTTGACTGAATATACTCTGAAATAAAGTCTGTAATTTCCTATTTGTAGCATTTTAGAAAAAAAAGAAATCGGTCTTCATCAAAGTGACTGTTAAAATGCAACATTTGAGACAACAAATGATTCTTGAACACAGGTTCGTTGATCACTTGTAGGTTTCCTATTGGAAAAAGACACATAATTATTATACGAACCTGATAACATTACCACTTTTGAAAAAGGAAACAAATACAAGTCAACTATAAAATACAAGAGAAGGTACATGTTGTTTTTGGAACTGCCAGTGTCAAGACATCTAATTGTTGAAAGGCTTGCATTACATCTGGGACTATATCACAGGCAAGGGAAACGCTTGATAAAAATGTTTTTTGTTGTGAAGGTCGAAGGTTTTATTTGTCGTCACGTTCAGTTCATCGGGGACCACAGTTGAAATAGCGACAAAAGAATTGTTTGACTCAAAACAAACAAAAAAAGTATATTTTAAGACAAGAGAGCTCTATATAATTCGCAGTAAGGTTAACGTGATAACAAACATTTCACACAATCGCTAAGTACTCATTGAAACATGCTTAAATTACAGTAAATGCATTGATCTCTAAATTACCCTATACGAATGATGGATTGCTGTAAGATTCCACTACAACGTATTTGTTATTGAAAGAACATATGGAAAACATTTGTGGTTACACAAAGAAAAGTGTCTGTAATTGTGTTGGAATCAATCATTTTATTGGTGATCGGACATAAGATTAAAACGAATCAGCAATTGTTACGAAAGTAGAAGCAATATAGAAACACTAATGAAACATTTCTCAAAGATAATAGAAACAACAAGAGAAGCACGATTATAAAAGTTCAAAGAATTTATACCAACATAATTTTACGATTATTTCTCTCAACAGTTTGAAAAATACGTTTCAACATCAATTATTTCTGCGCCCGTTTCTTTTCATATCTTTCATACACATATTATATAACCTTTACATTAAAAGTGTTTAGTATGTCAATCTCATTACAAACAAGAATGCAAAATAATAAAATGTATTCGAGGATAACGTGAAATAATGCAAAATGGATATACCATTTAAGCTTAGCAAACATGTTGCTGTTTCCCAACTGCCCCTGTCAAGACAACTAATTGATCTATGGCGTTTTGAGATTAATGGGCATAGACGAACAGAAGACAGTTTGTAAATTGAAGTAAACTTGAAAGTTACCATGCCATTAAAATGTAGTTGGAATGTGTGTTAAATGTAATGAAGAAACAGTCACTAGAAAATTTAAATAATATAACCAATGAAGACTCGTTAAATATCACTCCCGACAATATATTGCTGTTATAATATATTTTTTCACACGTTATGAAATATAACCAACGAGCTTTAATTGTTTGTGCCACGTTCGGTTCAAATAAGTATTAGTTCCAATATTATCAATTTAACCTTGTTTTTATTGCCAGAGTTTCAAAAGTCCTTCTTAAATCCATATCATATCCGATATAGCTTAGTTATCATTTTCAGAGACCAAACATCGATAAATATTAAAAGTGCAATTACTCTCTACTCCCCGTTTTCATTTTTGGGGTGAAAACTCCATAAAAAATCCTTAATGTAATTGTCAAAATGTAAAATAAATTTTATAATTAAAATAAATGTTGGTGAGAAATAATGAGGTTATTATACATTTTTGAGAACAGTACTGATTCTTATGGACGCGCACACAGCTTCAAAACCCGTAACAGACTCGGCTTGCTCCTCGCCCGATGTTGTTGTGACAGCCGTGTACTCGTCAAATAGAATTCAGTATTGTTCTTAAGAATGTACGAAAAACTCATAAAGCTATTATCTTGAATGACGATCTGATACAAAACACATTAACAAAAGAAACTATTCATCTTACAAGAAAGTTTTTTTTTAAATTGACGCTTCTTAAGAAAAAGAAATTAGAAATCTTACAAAATGCAAATTATTTATACCTATATTACATGTTGGTGTTTCCCAACTTCCATTTTCAAGACAGCTTATTTGTGGATGGCTTGCATTATACCCAGAAGCACAGACAAGGGTAGCATTTGATCCAAATGTTGTTGTTGTGAAGGCCAAAGTTCCATTTGTCACATTTGAAGGGATTCCACAGTCTGTATTAAAGTTTATATCTCATAATAAAATATATATATTTAAATGGGTGTCAATCGGACATTTTTCTTTATCAACTATGAATTATTTCGCAACATGCTTGAATATGTGTTAAAAGTAATGATGGAAATTATAACAAGGTATAAAAGTTAAAATGATATAAACAATAAAAAAAATGTAAATTAAATTGGTGGTGTAAAATTAAGAGGTCATTAAAGATTGTTGAGAACAAAACTGATGTGTTTGCTCACATACACAGTTGCAAAAACCTGCAACAGCCACGGCTAGCGCCTTGTGACAGCTGTGTACTCATCCAATGGAATTCAGTTTTGTTCTCAACAATGATTAATAAACAATGTATAATGACCTCATAACATTTTCATATTGAATGTTGATATGGAACCAAGCAAATGTCTGAGCAAAAGAGATTATTTATCTTTCAAGAAAGTTAAAATTTTATCTTATACCTGTGATGGTACATGTTGCTGTTTCCCAACTGCCAGTGTCAAGACAGCTTATTGTTGAAAGGCTTGCATTATATCCAGTATCACAGATAATTGAAGCGCTTGACCCAAATGTTGTTGTTGTGAAGGTCACAGCTCCATTTGTCACATTTGCAGGGGAACCACAGTCTGGAATAAAGTGAATACTTCATGAAATTATATGTTTGAATGTGTCACAGTTAGACTACCTTTAATATCAACTATGAATTATTTCGAATATATTGATTTAAAAATTATTATGAAAAAAGTTCTATAACGCTCTAGTATTGACAAAGCTGAGAATACTACGCTACAACTTTAATTTATAATTGGATCTAAACGAACAGAAGAAACTTTGTTAAGAGAAGCAACAATTGAAAACAACTATGCCATTAAAAACAGCTTGGATATGTGTTAAAATTAAAGAAGAAAAAACATTTATAAAGATGTAACAATTAAAATTGTATAAACAATGAGGACTTGTATAACATCACCCATGAAAATATTGCTTTTATATATTTTTTTCACACCTTAAAAATATTACCAATGAACTTTTACCGTTACCGTCTTATCAATGTAAGCTCGTTTTCATTTCCAGAGCACAATAAATCCATATAACTCAATATCGTACCAACTATGGCATTTTCCTTCATTTCCAGAGTCCAAAAGCTTATATATAAAAAATATATCACGTGCCATATTGCCTCATTTCAGTTGTGAGAGATAAAATTCATATCAAATCAAATCCTTATTTTAATTAATTAAATGCAATATAAATCGGTGGTGTGAAATAAACGAGGTCATTATACATTATTGAGTGCAATACAGATTCTTTTGGACACGTACACAGTTGCAAAATATATAACAGACTCGGGTAGCGCCTTGAGACAACTTCGTACTTGTCCAATAGAATTAAGTATTGTATTGAACAATGTATAATAACTTCATAACATTTTCATCTTGAATGTTGATATGGTACCAAGCACATGTCTTAATAGAAGAAATTGTCTTACAATAAAGTTAAAAAAATCTTACAAGAAAGTTAAATTTTTTATACCTGTGATGGTACATGTTGTTGTTTCCCAACTGCCAGTGTCAAGACAGCTAACTGTTGATTGGCTTGAATTATATCCAGTATCACAAGCAATTGAAGCGCTTGACCCAAATGTTGTTGTTGTGAAGGTCACTGCTCCATTTGTCACATTTGCAGGGGAACCACAGTCTGGAATAAAGTGTATACCTCATAAAATTATATGTTTGAATGTGTAACAGACAGAGCTGCATCAGTACTAAGGGTGTAGTACTTAAGTACCAGTACTTGGCAAATTATGCAGTACCATTACCAGTACCAGTACTAGATTTTAGCTCGGTACTGCAGTACCAGTACATTTTTTTTTGGTGAAGTAATTAAGTATCAGTACCAGTACTTTTATATATTCATCAAAGTTTGAATAAATACACAGTGTCAAACAAATAATTGCTAATATTATTCATCAAAGAAATAAAATCATAATTTACTTTAAAGTTAACATAACATTTTTACAACTTTATAGTTTTAACATACTTTTTACAAACAATATTAACAACATATATTCATGTCATGTCATATCTTATTGTTTAGTAACCAGTCAACTGTAATACAATGCAACCATCTTTCATTAAAACAAAAAACAGTCTTTTGTTGCCTTTCACACCTTCACACCTCTGTTCAATTTATACCAAAGTAAATGACTTTTTATCATGCTAACATAGGATTATTTAGGTCAGAAGCAATTGTTAATTACTTTGCTCTTTTACTAGTAAATACAAAGTATTAAAAGATTTTAATAAGGTTATTTAAGAGTTATTGAGTCTGTTTATATCAATTTATTTTTTACTTAAAGTCTTTGGTGCTTTTTTATGATGAATACTATGCTAACATTTGAAGGAATATTGCAGCAAATTATCTATAGATTTGATAACTTCTTTTTCACAAAAATAAAATAATGTAATTTACAGCTTTATTTTATGAGAAAAATTGATGCTATTTTTATCAAAACCAAAAGTACTGTCTAATAATGCAGTAGCAGTACCACTTTTTAAGGCAGTAATGCAGTACCAGTACCAGTAGTAGCAAAATTTTGTAAGAGTAATTCAGTACCAGTACTTGCAAAATCGTTGCAGTACGTACTGCAGTACCAGTACCAGTAATGCAGCTCTGGTCACAGTAAGACTACTTTCTATATCAACTATGAATTATTTCGAATGTATTGATTTTAAAATAATGAAAATTTTAAAGTTCTGAAACGCTCTGGTATTGAACAAAGCTGAGTATACTACGCTAAAACTTCAATTTATAACTGGACCTAAACTAACAGAAGAAAATTTGTTAAGAGAAGCAACAATTGAAAATAACTATGCCATTAAAATACAGCTTAGATATGTGTTGAAATTAAAGAAGAAAACATTTATAAAGATGTAACAGTTAAAATTGTATAAAGAATGAAGACTTGTTTAACATCACCCACGAAAAAATATCGCTATCATATATTTTTCACACCTTATGAAATATAACCTATGAACTTTTACCGCTACCGTCTTATCCATTAAAGCTCATTTTCATTTCCAGAGCACAATAAATCCATATAAATCAATATCGCACCCAGTATAGTATTTTCCTTCATTTCCAGAGTCCAAAAGCTTATATATAAAAATATATCACGTGCCATATTGCCTCATTTCAGTTGTAAGAGATAAAATTCATATAAAATCAAATCCTTATTTTAGTTAATTAAATGTAATATAAATTGGTGGTGTAAAATAACTAGATCGTTATACATGATTGAGTGCAATACAGATTCTTTTGGACATGTACACAGCTGCAAAACCTATAACAGTCTCGGGTAGCGCCTTGTGACAGCTGTGTACTCGTCCAATAGAATTCAGTTTTGTACTCAACAATGTATAATAACTTTCATCTTGAATGTTGATATGGTACCAAACACATGTCTAAACAGAAGAAATCGTCTTACAAGGCAGTTAAAAATTCTTACAAGAAAATAAGATTTTCTATACCTGTGATGGTACATGTTGCTGTTTCCCAACTGCCAGTTTCAAGACAGCTAACTGTTGATTGGCTTGCATTATATCCAGTATCACAGGCAATTGAAGCGCTTGACCCAAATGTCGTTGTTGTGAAGGTCACAGCTCCATTTGTCACATTTGCAGGGGAACCACAGTCTGGAATAAAGTGAATACTTCATGAAATTATATGTTTGAATGTGTCACAGTAAGACTTATATCAACTATGAATTATTTCGAATATATTGATTTAAAAATTATTATGAAAAAAGTTCTATAACGCTCTAGTATTGACAAAGCTGAGAATACTACGCTACAACTTTAATTTATAATTGGATCTAAACGAACAGAAGAAACTTTGTTAAGAGAAGCAACAATTGAAAACAACTATGCCATTAAAAACAGCTTGGATATGTGTTAAAATTAAAGAAGAAAAAACATTTATAAAGATGTAACAATTACAATTGTATAAACAATGAGGACTTGTTTAACATCACCCATGAAAATATTGCTATTATATTTTTTCACACCTTTAAAATATTACCAATAAACTTTTACCGTTACCGTCTTATCAATATAAGCTCGTTTTCATTTCCAGAGTACAATATTCCATATAACATCCATATAGTACCCTTTATAGCATTTTCCTACATTTTCAGATTCCAAAAGCTTATATATCAAATGCATATCATGTGCCATACTGACTCATTTCAGTTATGACACACAAATCAAATCCTTATTTAAATTTACTGAATGCAATATAAATTGGTAGTGTGAAATACTGGTAACGAGATCATTATACATTTTTGACTGCAATACTTAATTTTTTGGACACGTTCAAAGCTGCAAAACATATAACAGACTCGACTAGCGCCTTGAGACAGCTGTGTTCTCGTCCAAAAGAATTCAGTATTGTACTCAAAAAATGTATAATAACTTCATAACATGTTCATCTTGAATGTTGATATGGTACCAAACACATGTCTAAATAGAAGAAATTGTCTTAAAATAAAGTTAAAAAATTCTTACAAGAAAATAAGATTGTTTTTATACCTGTGATGATACATGTTGCTGTTTCCCAACTGCCAGTGTCAAGACAGCTAACTGTTGAATGGCTTGAATTATATCCAGTATCACAGATAATTGAAGAACTTGACCCAAATGTTGTTGTTGTGAATGTCACAGCTCCATTTGTCACATTTGCTGGGGAACCACAGTCTGGAATAAAGTGTATACCTCATGATAAAATATATTTTTGAATGGGTCTCAATAAGACTACTTTCTATATCAACTATGAGTTATTTTAAAGGTATTGATTTAAAAAAAAATGAAGATCATAATTGAAACGCATTTGAAATGAACAAAGCCTACCCACTTAAATTTATTACTGGACCTAAAGGAACAGAAGACAATTTGTTAAGGGAAGTAGAAATTGAAAATAACCATGCAACTGAAATACAGTTTGGATATTTGTAAAATTAATGGAGAAACCATTTATACAGATGAACAGTTAAACTGATATCAACAATGAAGACGTGTTAAAAATCACCCAAAAATACATTGCCATTATATATTTCTTTCACCTTATAAAATATGACCAATGAACTTATGCCGCCACCTTCTTATATCAAGAGTATAAAAAATTCATATTAATCAATATAATACCAAATGTAATATAGCCTCGTCTTGATTTTCACTCATTTTTGTACTCACAAATGTATAATAACCCCATAACATTTATATCTTGAATGTTAATATGGTACCAAACACATATCTAAACATTTAAATAAAAAATATACCTGTGATGGTACATGTTGCTGTTTCCCAACTGCCAGTGTCAAGACAGCTTATTGTTGAATGGCTTGCATTATATCCAGTATCACAAGCAATTGAAGCGCTTGACCCAAATGTTGTTGTTGTGAAGGTCACAGCTCCATTTGTCACATTTGCAGGGGAACCACAGTCTGGAATAAAGTGTATACCTCATGATAAAATATATTTTTGAATGGGTCTCAATAAGACTACTTTCTATATCAACTATCAGTTATTTCAAAGGTATTGATTTAAAAAAAAATGAAGATCATAATTGAAACGCATTTGCAATGAACAAAGCCTACCCACTTAAATTTATTTCTTGACCTAAAGGAACAGAAGACAATTTGTTAAGAGAAGTAGAAATTGAGAATAACCGTGCGACAGAAATACAGTTTGGATATTTGTAAAATTAATGGAGAAACCATTTATAAAGATGAAACAGTTAAACTGATATCAACAATGAAGACTTGTTAAAAATCATCCAAAAATATATTGCTATTATATATTATATAAGTGTATATCTCGTGATAAAATATAAGACTATTCTCTATATCAATATTAAAGCATTATGCTTCATAAATAAGAATTTACTCTACTTCTTAAAACGGGCAAATATGAATCCTACCAGGTGTCACAAACAAATAAATTTTTACTTCTTTACAAAGGACAAACATAAATAATTTTTGTTTTAGAGAATGTTGGATGCTTGTTCACCTGAAAAAAGGAGCGATGAATGTGAAAAAATTTGTCATAAAAGTAGCAAAATGTAAATACGATGTTATGTAGTATTTTGACTTCCATACACAATACTAATTCACTGTACTGCAAAAAAGCAACAAGTGAAAAAGATGGTTCAGGTAATAGGCCAATGTGTAACGTTTTGAATACTATAAAAGTATGCCAGAATTAAAAAGCTTTAGAGGAATAAAAATAAAGGCATTTTTGATGCATATCAGACATTGAACCGTCTTTTATCTCGAATTTATTGATATCTTCATTACGCAAAAAATTGTATAAATGTTATGGTATTGTATAAATTGAATTTGGTGCATCACTTTAACTTATCGTTTGGTCTATGAGAAATGACATAAACGAGCAGAAGTAGGTATTAAGCCGGAAATTCAAATTAAATTGACCTTATGATGATCAGATTTGTCATCGGTAGCTTATTATGTTTGTTTTACAGTTTTATTCGGTATAAACAATGTCGGGTGTTTTCAATTATTCTGTAAATATATATATTTTTTATGCATATTGTTATTTTGATAAAAAAGGTCGTTCCAACAACCCACATCCAACAGGGATAATCGAAAATTCAAAAGTTTGAAGAAGACGTAATAAATGCATGTCAATTACTGATACCTTTGATATCACATGTTGGTGTTTCCCAACTGCCAGTGTCAAGACAATTTATGGCTGCATGACTTGCATCATATCCTGTATCACAAACAAGGGATGCGCTTGATCCAAACGTTGTTGTTGTGAAGTTCAAAGCTCCACTTGTCACATTTGAAGGGGTACCACAGTCTGAATAACGATAAAATAAATTTATAACACAATTATACTTGTATTTTATTAAAGATATCTAAATAATCCTCAATTATAATGTTACTGTGAATAGTTTTGAATATGCAAACATATCTGATAATAAAAGATGTTCATATAATTAAAACTTTTGTATTGATTTTCAAAGCAAAGTCTCTAAGTTATCTCAATACTGTCAATTCAGATTATCAGATTGGTGAATGACAATATGATTTTCACTAAACGTTTTTGCAAACAAAAGAACATATGGCAATGTTTGTGGTTATATAATTAAAATAGCAAAAGAAGGGGTATATGGATTATAGTTTTAAAAGAATCACTTTGTGTCTTGTTTCTATATCTTTATCACCTAAAACAATTACAAGTAAAACGTATGAGTAGGGGTCTATGAAGATGTTCGAATAAGCATTAAAATAGTCATCGGACTAAGGATTACCATCTGACACAAACTGTTACGCAAGTGAAATGGAGGCTAAAAATGAAAGTGAAACATTACTCAAATATAAACTAAAGAAACACGATTAAATAATGCAAAATGTAAATACCTTTGATATTACATGTTGGTGTTTCCCAACTGCCAGTGTCAAGACAATTTATGGCTGCATGACTTGCATCATATCCTGTATCACAAACAAGGGATGCGCTTGATCCAAATGTTGTTGTTGTGAAGTTCAAAGCTCCATTTGTCACACTTGAAGGGGTACCACAGTCTGAATTAAATGAATAATTCACAATAAAATGTTTATTCAAATGGATGTCAGATAAACTCAAGCTACTTTATGTACAGTCGACTTTATCAAGAATGTTTTATTTTCTATATTATTATTTTGGTAATTATTGAAATTTCAAGGTTCGTTCATTGCATTATATTATTATGTAGTAAATACATGGAAAACAAAATAAAGTATATAAAAGGAAGAGGATGCGATTATTGTAAAGCTTATAAAATATCACTTATTCTGAAACAATATGTTAAGTCACCTCTGTTGGTTTTACAGTTTATACGTTACATGCAATGTAGCCTGCTTCTATTTAATTGTGAAAAAATATTGCTATATATATAAAAAATCATTTTGAATACCAATCAACATCAAATCAATTGAAAAAGAAGATATTACTTTATCTAATATTACCAATTACGAAGAAGAAAGGCATTCATGCACATTGTCTATACCTTTGATATCACATGTTGCTTTATCCCAACTGCCAGAGACACGGCAACGTATTGTTGAATGACTTCCATTATATCCAGCATCACAGACAAGAGAAGCGCGGGATTGATATGTTGTTGTTGTGTAGTTCAAAACCCCATTTGTTACATTCATAGGAGTACCACAGTCTGAATTTAGGTAAATACTTTCAAATAATGGACCCTATCAAATGTACATTCCAAATGTTCTGTGATTACCAATAATGTTTAAAATTGTTCATCATGAAGATAAAAAATAAAAATGATTCATCATTGTATGAAAAAAATGATTATGAAGTTGAGAAAAAATTACTTAATGTATTATGTGGCCTATGAGTTAAAGAAAAAAGTAAAAAAAGAGCATATAGTATTAGTAAAATATGTAATTAAGCTTAGATTTAAGACGAAACATGGAAGTGTATGGAAAAAGATAAATTGCTTTGATTTTACGTTGCACCAACAAAATAGAGATCATATAGCAATTGTTCAGCTTCTCTAGAGGAGAAACACATTATGTGTGCCTTTCTGCTGCATTATTTAAGGTACAAAGGGGCACCGGATCGACTAAAACATTTTGTTTTCAACGATTTAAACTTAAAGAAAAAAATGCTAAACACTTGTCAGTGGCAAATATGATTAAATCTAGCAATGTGTAAACAGGATAAAGTAAGCCTCTTTGTCTCTTTCTAGGCAATATATATTCTTATTATAATTTATGAACTAATTGTAAGAAGTGTGTAAAGCCTGTAGTGCAATGATGATCACTAAGCTTTGTGTAGGTAAAACTTGCCAAATACAAACATTTCTTTGTTACTCATCACGGAGTAAGCTTATTTTTCTTAGGTCTTTTCACCTCTATTAAACAGTACTTTGTTTCAAAAAGAAAAAAACAAGGTATACAATGTAACATATTATTGCAAAATACAAAGTTCAAACCTATGTCTGAACATGTGGCTTTTTCCCATTTTCCTGTTTTCAGGCAAGTTATAGTCTTCCGGTCAGATTCGAATCCAGGCTTACAGCGAATGCTAGCAGTTGCTCCAACAGTTGTATTAACTTTGTTGTCTGGAGTTGCCTTTCCATCCTTTATTTTTTGGGGTTTTCCACAATCTGTAATCCCTGAAATCATATGTTTTACAGTTGATAAGTAATCAGTAAAAATAAAATAGTAAAGGTCATGTCATTGAATAAGGGGTGTTAGTTCCTACTGAAATACCTTTTTCATGCATGTATCTTCCAGTTTTAATTAGCAAACTGTATATGTAATTTGACATTTCCGACTCCACTCTTGCAACTACTTTATTTGTAATTAATTCATATGTTTTACACTAAATAAGTAATAGGTAACAACAAAGTAGTAAACGTCATGTCATTGAATAAGGGGTGTTAGGTCCTACTGAAATACCTTTTTCATACATGTATCTTTCAGTTTTAATTAGCAAACAGTATTTGTAATTTGACATTTCCGATTCCACTCTTGCAACTACTTTTTTGTAATTAATTCACAGGATGTTTATCTTTTATTCAGTATTTGCCTTTTTTCACTTTTAGCATTTTCAAGTACTCATTGATAAATTGAAAAGACATAACATATCAAACTGTAAACTGAATAAACACTTACAACAATTTATACACTTTAAGTATTGATGAAATGACGGACATTATTTTTGCAACTCTTTTCAAGAATTTGATATGCAATTCTTGTTTTTAACTTATCGTAATAGTTACACGAACAAAAGATTAAGGTCCATACCTTTTTGATGCAAGTTCAATATTGTAACTTTGTATGAGATAAAACATCATAGCAGGTGCAAAAAGGAACTACTTTAGTCACTAAGTGTGTAATAGTCTTAAAATAAAATCGCAAACCTTGTTTGTTACAAGTGGCCTCTTCCCATTCCCCTGTTTCCAGGCAAGTTATTTTCACACGGTCTGCCTCAAATCCAGACTTACAGCGGATGCTTGCAGTTGATCCAACAGTTGACGTAGCTTTAATGTCAAGGGTTGCTTTTCCATTTTTCACCTTTTTGAGTTTGCCACATTCTTTTGTCTCTAAATTCAAGAATCAAACACCGGATATATTTTCAACAAATTAACATCAAGTTAAAACTTATGCAATGCAATTTGATTATTTTGTAGTAGTGTCAGTTTAGGTTAGTTCCTTTGTAAACACCATATTGAAAATAAATATGGTTAGAGCAAGTCATACTAGCGGTATATCCGTAGAATGACTTAACTTATAGAATATGTTTATATTTTCATGTTTCATCATGAACGCTTGTATTTATGAAACGAGTTCTATATTGATGTAATAAAATAAAAATGTTAGTGTATATGGAAATGAGAAAAAGCAAATAAAGAACCTCTTTTGACTTGATTTAAGACAAAAGACGTGCACTAAATTAAAAGAAAAGGAAGCATCAAAATATAAGCAATCCAATAATGATTTAGTTACAGACTTTATCATTAAATTTCTTTTTTTTCTTTTTTTTTTTTTTGGGGGGGGGTCTTTTTTGTTTGATTTCACAATTAAGGTCAGATGGCGTCGTAACAGGAAATATTGTATTTTGGCTAATCTCGGGTGATACAAACTTAAAGCATCATTAGGGGTCAAAACCACATCACCTGCTGGAGTTAAGAGATGCATAGACTCCAGTTTCAATTTTGTAGCATATTATTGAATAAATAGAGGCTATTTAAATGAACGTATAGATTCAATACTAAATTTATTGAACGAGTTGAATAAAATCATATTATGCGAGCTTCCGGCGAGCATAATATTGTTTTATTCAACGAGTTCAATACATTTAGTATTGCATCTATACGAATATAATATTCTATTTATCACATAATATAGATAAAAGCGGTAAGCTGTTAAAAAGAGTCATTTTTTATGACACGCCTATATTGTAACGCTAACTTTAGCGCGCTTTAAATGTTTAAATGTAACGCAAATGACGTCACGTCAAATGTTATTACACTTGTTTGTAATTAAATGGCTTAATTACACTCCCGCGCCGCGGTTTATGTGATAATTCTTCATAACAGGTAAAAAGGAATTGCTTAAGACGCAAAAAGAAACAGCAAACCTTGTTTGTTACAAGTGGCCTCTTCCCATTCCCCTGTTTCCAGGCAAGTTATTTTCACACGGTCTGCCTCAAATCCAGATTTACAGCGGATGCTTGCAGTTAATCCAACAGTTGAAGTTGATTTAATGTCAAGGGTTGCTTTTCCATTTTTCACCTTTTTGAGTTTGCCACATTCTTTTGTCTCTGAATTCAAAATACAAACACCAGATAGATTTTAAACAAATTAACATCAATTTAACAATTTGATTAATTTGTAGCAGGGTCAGTTTAGGTCAGAGAAAATACATGCAATAAATAAGAAGGAAAGGCAGCATCAAAATATAAATAATCATATGATTTAATTTCATATTTTTTAGCATTAATCTTATTTAGAGGTTGGGGTATACTTTTTGTTTTATTTCACGCCGCATCAACACAATTTAGGTCATATGGCGTTGAAACAGGAAAGATGATTTTAAGCTAACCTCGGGTGATACAAACTTAAAGCAACGCAAGGGGTCAAAACCACCTCACCTGCTGGAGTTAAAATATGCATAGAATCCAGTTTCAATATTGTCAGTAACTTGTTATGGAATAAAACATCATAACAGGCAAAAAGGAACTACTTAACACGCTAAGTATCTAATGTTCTTTTAAGATAAAAACAAAGAGGAAATCACAAACCTTGTTTGTTACAGGTAGCCTCTTCCCATTCCCCTGTTTCCAGGCAAGTTATTTTCTCACGATCTGCCTCAAACCCAGACTTACAGCGGATGCTTGCAGTTGATCCAACAGTTGACGTAGCTTTAATGTCAAGGGTTGCTTTTCCATTTTTCACTTTTTTGAGCTTGCCACATCCTTTTGTCTCTGAAATCAAGAGTTAAACACCTGATAAACTATAAACAAATTAACATCAAGTTAAAACTTATGCAATGCAATTTGATTATTTTGTAGCAGTGTCAGGTTAGGTTAGTTCCTTTACACGATATTGAAAATAAATATGGTTAGAGCAAGTCATACTTAAGCGGTGTATCCGTAGTATAATTTATTTAACAGAATAATTATATATTTTCATGCTTCAAATGAACGCTTGTATTAAAGAAACGAGATATATATATTGATGTCATATAATAATAATGTTAAATCATTTACTTATTGGAAATATAGTAAACAAAATTAGAACCTCTTATTGATTTATTAGAAAAGAAGCGCAATAAATTAAAAGAAAAGAAAAGGAAGTATCAAAACATAAATAATCCTATGATTTTGTTTTAGATTTAATTCCTGTCTTATCTCATTTATGTTTTTTTATAATTTTGTAACTTTGTATAGGATAAAAGATCATAGAAGATGATAAAGAACATCTTTATTTGCTAATTATTTTATTTTCTTAAAGTGAAAACATAGCTATAAGCCCAAACCTTGTTTGTTACAAGTAGCCTCTTCCCATTCCCCTGTTTCCAGGCAAGTTATTTTCTCACGGTCAGCATCAAATCCAGACTTACAGCGAATGCTTGCAGTTGATCTGACAGTTGACGTAGACTTTTTGTCAAGGGTTGCCTTGCCATTCTTCACCTTGTTTAGTTTACCACAAGCCTTTGTTTCTAAATTCATTTGTTAAGATGTTCAATAATAACGAAATAATAGCGAAAAGAACAAAAAGTACGTTTTATTTTTGTTATAATTACGAAGCTTATGTAGTTCTTTCCATAAGACACGTTGTGAATGCCTTATCCCATATAATTTATACCTTAAGATCAATTTATTTGGTATTTGATGACAAAGCGTGATACTAGTTTACTTCATTTTATGATAACTTAAAGTACTTAAGTTGAAAAACATCTGGAAACAAAGTGTTCCTTCTGAAGCATTAATCACAACAAAATTACATGAATATTGCAGACTCGGTTTGATTGAGTCTGTACATGAACGACAATATAAAGGTTCAACATCTCTCACGCCCCCTAGCAACGGTTTGAGCGGTACTCAATTTTAAATACTTAACATCAATAATCCCTTAGGACCAGAAAAATATAACAACACTGAAGTGAAGTACAAGCAACTTTTTACAGCTTCCACATGGCACTGCTGTTGCGAAGTATAAAAATCTGGAAACAAAATGATCCATCCAAATACTTTTTATTTGCACATATTTATGTCTCACAAGCTGGAATAATGTAAGGTTCAAACCTATTTCAGTGCAAGTAGCCTTTTCCCATTTTCCTGTTTCCAGGCAAGTTATTTTTTCCTGATCAGCCTCAAATCCCGATTTACAGGTAATGCTTGCAGTCGATCCAACACTTGAATCAGATTTGCTGTCTAGAGTAGCCTCCCCATTCTTTACTTTTTGAAGCTTACCACAGCCTTCGTTTTTTCCAGGTTTTTGATTAGCTATCCAGTCATTTTCTCGAAATATCAGTGAAAGTGCAATATTCACATGACCTGCGAATATAAACAAATATTGTCTCCTCTAAATTTCTTCTATTCATTAGTTGGTAATATTCAATTTATCAAATGTTACGCACCTAAAACGTTTCAATGAACCAATTTCCTTGTTGTCAGAAAAGTACAAAAAAGGAAAACATAAAGACCCTAACCTTGAAAAAAGAAAGTAAAAAGAACAACTTGAAATGTTGACATATTAAACATACATATGGATTACTTAACAAACATAACCATACACAAATCTTTTTCTTTTTTTTTCGTTTGTGGTTCGTTTGTGTGAACCACAATTCACGTGTTTTAAAGACGTCAATCCCGGCCGCCTTTTATGAATGAATATTTGTATTATGTAAGAAAAAGAAATGTCTACCTCCAAGGTAAGTAACTGTTTAGCGGAAACTCGACAGAGCCTCATTACAGGCGTTAGCAGTTACCCCAGAGCGTAGATTTTAAGGATCTTACACCGTCTGCTGATACAGATCAGACAAATTCTTTTCTTTTCTTGCATATTACAAATAATGGTAATCCTGTCTGATATACAAGACCGTTGTCAAATAATAAAAGAAGAAAGCATATCAAATCAACGAAAACCTATTTTAGAACTATGTGTAAATAGAAAATAGCACTTACATAATGATAACAGAAAGCATATCTTGAAGAGCTCCATTTTTAAGACTGTATAGCTGGATCAACATTTAGGTATTGAAATTAATCAGTGCCGGCTTTTCTATTTATTGAAAATCTTGGAATAGCCGAAAGGCTGGAGAAATTGATGACTTACATGATAATTAATGTTTTGAACTTCTACGTCGTTTCTAATGCCAGTGGCATTATAAATAACATTAACTTAAATAAATATAGATAGAATAACAAAGGTCATTAAAATTTTCAAACGAAAATCAGCGGACTAAGTACGTATAGATTCTATGAATATTTTATGTATTATGTATGTATATTTTGACATATAATATGTAGTCTTATACACTATATTGCATATGTAAATGATTGTAGTATTATACATTATATTGCATATATAGAGGACATTCTTTTTTTATAAACACATGATTGATTTCCGTCGTTCTGTTCCAACTACTAAATAAGCAGAAAAAATGCCATTCTCTCTTATTAATTAGCGTACTACAACGTTAAACAGGAAAAAAGTCGTTTTAACATATAAATACTCATATACAAGTAAATAACCATGAAAAATGTCGTTCTTTCATTTAATTATTATACCAGAACGATAAGCAGGAAAATCTCGTTCTGTCATAACGAGATAAGGGGGAAAACTTTCGTCCACTCACATACATATTGGCACTAGTAAATAACCAGGAAAATGTCGTTCTCTCATATTTTTATGGGCAGGAAAATGTCGTTCTCTCTTATTATTTATTGGGAGGAAAGTGTCGTTCTCTCATATTATTTATTGGCAGGAAAGCGTCGATCACTCATATTATTTATTTGCAGAAAAATGTCGTTCTCTCATAATATTTATTTGCAGAAAAATGTCGTTCTCTCATATTATTTATTGTCAGGAAAGTGTCGTTCTCTCATATTATTTATTGACAGAAAAGTGTCGTTCTCTAATATTATTTATTGGCAGGAAAGTCTTGTCCTATCATATTTTTATTGGCCGGAAATGTCGTTCACTCATATAACTTATTGGCAGGAAAGTGTCGTTCTCTCATATTATTTATTGACAGGAAAATGTCGTTTTGTCATATAAATACTCACATGTGTTTACAATAAACAGGGAAAATGGCGTTGTCTCAAATTAACTATCGCACTTGCAGCCTAAACAGCGTTTGAATAATTCATTTAATTAAATTAATCAGTCCTATCTGGAAGTATCTCAAAGTAGTTTATCAACTCAATTATTATTTCTTTTCTTTTTTTAGCGCCTAGTTATTATGACCAAGAGTTGTTTTGATAGTTTGAATATTCATGAACTGTATACAGGATAATAATTTTATATAATTACATTAACTTCTATTAAAAACCGAACAACAAAACGTGATAAAATTATCAGTTGTAGATATAAGATCGTGATAAAGCATTAAAAAAATGTGTTAGAAAGCAATAGTTCACATAATGGTCACAAACAACATATATGAAAGTTTACTGTCCATGTTTTAATCTTTAACGAAACATGTTACATATAACGGACAAAAACGAACACGGGAATCAATGTTGCTATTTCGTCAACGGCTAATCTTGTATATTTGTAAATATCTAATACTGTCAGTACATAATGGTGGCTGAAAAGTGCCATGTCGTACTTTTGCTTCATGTGGCCCAGACAAAATACTAAAATAGACAACGTGATCACTTTTTTTGTACTTTCGCTCCACGGGGTGCAAAGCGAAAGCACGATGATACGACGAAATCACCACTTTGTCTTACTTTCGCTCCGCGGAGCGCTAGGCGAAAACACGATAATTCAACAAAGTTATTTCTTTGTTGTATTTTCGCCCAGCGAGATGCCAAGCCAAAACAGGACATAGTGTTGACCTATTCGACAAAGTGTCGACTTTGTCATATTATCGTGTTTTCGTCTTGCTACCAGTACGACCAGCATGAGCATTTCAACATTGAGAAAGTTTTGTAAGTCTGACTGTTTTCTTATCTGAGATTTAATGTTTCAAAATAAAGACAGAAGAATACAGTCCAAAAGGTAGGTGGGGGAATTGAAGGCGATCATTTCTGGACAATCTAATTAAAAAAACCTACACATAATAAGTTATTGCGCATTTTTGCTCTACTTCACAAGCATGCGGTAAGTTAAATGGTAGAAAATTGACTTCGGGCTAATATTTGCTATTGTACATCTAAATCATAACTAAAATAATGTGATGAAATCTCTTTGGAAAGAATTTACTTTTAATTCTTCGGGCGATGGTAAGTATATAAATGCTACATTAAAGGTCAAAGCCAGGAAAACAAGTTAAAAATGACCCTAGGTTAACTAAATTCCCCATAAAGCGATAGAATAATTAAGAAAAATATAAGAATGTGCATAGTGTGTCAAGGAGAGTTTAACTCCAGTTGCCACTTTTGAATAACAAAAACAAATTGTTAAAAAAATAGAAAGGTGTAAAGTTACATAACATTTTATTAAATAATAAATAACTTAATGCAATGATTACAATTATTTATAGTTGTATTGTCAATTGAATGATAATTATTTAATTGATGCATTGGAAATCTAAGAGTCTATCACATTCATTCAAAACTTTAGAATAAAGAAAAACAGAATCCATAAAGAACGCCCAAAACGATAAAATTGAAAATGTTGCAAGCTCACTTTTCATGGACGAAAGTGTGGCAATTGCTGGCCACTGTATACGCACCCTTTAGCATCTGTGTAAGCAGTATTCAACAACCATGTACTGGTGAAATTTTGATTCTAGAAACATTCGCCTGTCAGTTCATACGGCCTTGATCATGGAACCTTCAATGTGTAACGTTTGTGCCAATCCATGAAAAATGACGTAAGGTCCCAGAGTAAAAGTATGCGTGTCCCCTCACCGTGTGAAACCAGATAAATGGAATTTTAAGGGGATCAGAGGTTATGAAGCCTGAAAACCATAGAAAATGACATATTAAGACAAATTCAATAAAACTGTGCGTGCTTTCGTAATACACACACACTGTATTTCAGTTTCTACATTGCGCTACGGCATTGCCCCGATTTCGTTGTAAGTTGGCTATTGCAATAACAAACTTCAATGTCAGTCACCTGCGCTAGCCAAGAATACATAGACGCCAGATACTCGCGCTGAAGCGGATTTTCACAGTGCGGTAATTTGTATTTTTAAATATAAACTGTGCAAAAGCTTGCAAAACACATTTTCTACAGACAATACCTACTTACTGTTCCGAATTTATTACAAGTAAGACAATTCAATAGCTTATAGAGTTTTCACTGTATGGCAATATAACAAACAGGTTAATAACCATATAGCCAAACATGCGCCAACCTTATATGATGTACGCGTGGCATAAGCGCTTTTGCTGGAGGGACATTTTAGGCTGCTTGTGCATGAATTTTATCCTCTTTTTTCCAAGCATATGGCCCTACAAACAAAGGCCCGCGACTGCTTGCGTGACATTGACTTTTCCCGGGGAGGCAATTTTGTTAATTTCTCTGTTTCTGAAAAAAAAAACCTTTTCTGAAGTCCACAGTGACGACTTCCACATTGTATTGTTATAAATGGAAATTAACCAGAACAATAGTTTTAGAATATAAGCTCTTTAGCTATCGATGCGGTTTTGTCTGCTGGTATATTAATACTGTATCTTTGTAATAAGAATACATCTTCCCGGGCCTCCTTCAGACAACCAATAACAACGATTCCTTCTAGTGTTATAGTTTGGAGGCTTAATCTTATTGCAATATGAGACACATATGGTGCTAGCCACAAGATTTAGGGTGGCGTAGCCTTCAGAGGTCCGCTGTCTTTTTTTCCCCACCCTGCAACCATTTTGCTGTTTCTCTTAATCTATTCTACGAACATTCGCAAAAGAGCCATGTTCCGGAGCCCACAGTGACTCATCTGTTGCTCGAATTCATTGTGCAAATTGATTAAACAGAGCAAAAGCTTCTTGTTTCGACTTTCGACGTTAATTCATGGCACAGGGTGCTAGACCAAGAAACATGGCTGTCAGATGCCCGCATGCCACAGGCGCTTTAGCCTACACGCCGTTTTCGTAGGCTAGCATTTTATAACTGATTCCAGATTTTTTTTCGTGTTGACCATTCAAAAAGAACTTAAGCCTATCCTAGAGAGCCTGAGAGATGTCGCACTGTGACATTATCTCTCATAAATAGACTTAAACAAACAGAGTCTGCAACTTTCATATAATTTTGTTGTTTTTAATGCTTCTGAGGGATCTCCGTTTTCCATATTTAACAATTAAAACTCGCTGTTACACATTTTATAGGGAAATCGATAATTCTTTTACTATAATAGTAATTATGTGTTTAAATAGAATCTAATTTTGTCCAACTGACAAATTTCGCCATAAAAATGTTAAAAATTTTCTTAGCATATTACAATAATCATACTAGAAACCATACTTGGACTCTAAAATACAAATGCGTTCATATTTCTAAAGACACAACTTTGCTAGCTTTTATTCTACATATAGCCAGCAGATATATAATTTAAAAACAGCTATTACAAGCAATCGGCCAATGAAGATAACTATTTCAGATTAGAAATACATGTAATTGAAAGTTCAAGTATTGAACATGGTAATGTATATTTTTTTATTAAAATGATGACCGCTAAATGCACTTGCAGCTTGGCAGCCAAGACTAATTTTACTGGTTATAAGGTGATATTTCACAATGTTATACATGTAACGGCTAAATTATGAAACAGAGCTACATGATCTTAAGTTTTATTTGTTATATTATCTCATATATTTATTAAAGTAAATATTACTTATAATGCTTCTGGCAAAGTTGATTCTTTTTTTTTAAATGTAATGATTTAATTTGTTGTACCCTTACGGCAAACGCAAGAGTTTCTATATTCCAAATGTTATGTGGCTACATGTACACATTCTTGTGTTTCTGTTCATTACTTCATAACTTTAACATTCTTTGAAAACAATCTTTGTATGAACAGAATTAATTTTCTGTTTAACTCGAGTTTACACTTCACTTTAATGTCCATGCGCTTATGATTTCGCTTATACTGCTTATAAATAATCTAATGAAATTAATCGCCGAAAGACGATTTTGTATCTGAGAAGGAAATCGTTTTGATAATGGATTGATAAATGTGACGAATACATTGCAGTCAATTATGAATAATGAATATAAATTGTCAAAAAGAAGTGTTTACTGTAAACAGCAGTGATATCATGATTTTGGCATTAGTTATTTTTTATTTGACCTATTCAGACGTTTTAATTCCACGAAATAATGTTTGAAACTTTCTTGTCTAAGAAGCAATTTAAACTTTTGCCACTGTTTAATGATTTGCATCAGGGAAGGATTTCCTTGCGATCCATTCATATATGCATAATGGTTTTGTGTCCAAGACTATGGAACATATAAACGATCGGTGTAGATGCTTTATTTTATATTTTGCAACCATGTTTTAAGAACAAGAGCCACCGCCGGGCAGGGGCAACGCTCGACTTTATTCTTTCTCTAAAAGCAAACAAAGAAATGTTTGAATTTCCTTTTTATTAAATTTATTGGTCTGTCTTGTCTCTATATATTTTGTATATATAAATATACTAATTGATATAAAAAATTCTATGAATAGAAAAACACAATTCAATAAATAGAAAATTCTATAAATAGATACACGTGGTGGAGTCACTTTGTGACACGTGGTGGTGTCAAATGGTGGTGTCACATGGTGGTGTCACGTGGTGGAGTCGCTGGTGTCACGTGGTGGATTTACGTGATGAAGTCACGTGGTGGTGTCAGGTGGTGGATTAATGTGGTGGGGACACGTGGTGGAGTCATGTGGTTGTGTCACGTGGTAAAGACACGTCGTGAAGTCACGTGGTGGAGTTACCTGGTGTCATGTGGTGGTGTCACATGGTGAAGTCATGTGGTGGAGTCATGTGGTGAAGTCATGTGGTGGAGTCACAAGGTGGTGTCATGTGGTGAAGTCACATGATGGAGTCATGTGGTGGAGTCACATGGTGAAGTCACGTGGAGTCACGTGGTGGTGTCACATGGTGTCATGTGGTGGTGTCATGTGGTGGTGTCACGTGGTGGAGTCACATGGTGGAGTCATGTGGTGATGTCATGTGGTGAAGTCACCTGGTGGAGTCACGTGGTGAAGTCACGTGTAAGCATGTTGTGAAGTCATGTGGTGGAGTCACATGGTGGAGTCACGTGGTGGAGTCACGTGATGGTGTCACGTGGAGTCATGTGGTGATGTCATGTGGTGGAGTCATGTGGTGAAGTCACGTGGTGGAGTAATGTGGTGAAGTCACGTTGTGGTGTCACGTTGCGAAGTCACGTGGTGGCACGTTACGAAGTCAAGTGGTGAAGTCATGTGGTGGTGTCACTTGGTGGAGTCACGTGGTGAAGTCACGTGGTGGTGTCACGTGGTGAAGTCATGATAAACTACAAGGTCTTGTCCTTGAGTATGTTCTGTTATAATATGAAGTTGATCCCTTCAATATTAGCAAAGTTACAGCTAGTTACTGCCAAAACAATGAAAATTTCAATAATTTGAACTTCAAAGTCAAGGTCATTCATGAGTGAAGGTCAAGGTCTGTCTGGTTATTTTTAAGGGTTATCCTTGAAGATTATTATGTTCAAGTTTGAAGACAATCCATTCAAAAATAACAAAGTTACAGCCAATAACAGCATGAACAAGCAAAATTTACTTTTAACCTTGAAGGTCAAGGTCATTTATGGATGAAAGTCAAGATTAGTGTGGTCTACAAGAGTTTGAAGACAATACACCAAGAAATAAAAAAGTTATGATCCAGGTACAAGTTTGCGGACGGCAACGGCAACGCCGCCGCGACTATAGCAATACCCCTACTTTTTTTTTCAAAAAAAAAAAAAGTCGAGCTAAAAATGGCTCAATCTTTATATCAAAGACCGTTGGTTCAATATAATTTGGACTTTGTTAAGAAAGACAGACTTCTTATATATTTATGTATATTTTAACATTCCCTGCCGGTTCTTATTGAAGTACTTCCGAGATGAATTTCATTTTTTATATGTAGTCTACAAGTCTAATGGCACAGCCAAAATAAAATTGCAAAAATGTCTTTTAACATAGAATTGCAATGGCTTGGCCGCCTCTAAATAGTGTTTTTTTAATCTCTTTCATGGGGCTGATAAACATTCATCCAATTTAAATATCATATTGGAGAAAGGCGACTAACGGACAGAAAAAAACAACCTTTATCGGCATTTTCTTGTCATTTCCCATGACATGATTGAAAGATGGTCATTTCTAGATAGTTAGCTTGTTAAGTGTTAAATAAATAAATGAGCCGTGTCACGACAAAACCAACATAGTACGTTTGCGACCAGCATGGATCCAGACCAGCTTGCGCATCCGCACAGTCTGATCAGGATCCATGCTGTTCGCCATCAGTTTCTCTACTTGTAATAGGGTTGGTAAGCGAACGGCATGGATCCTGATCAGACTGCGCGGATGCGCAGGCTGGTCTTGATCCATGCTGGTCGCAAACCCATTATGTTGGTTTTGTCATGACACGGCTCTAATTCATTGGTTGGGATGATAAGGCTTTCACTTAAAAGCCCTTAAATAATACCTTCACCGATGTCCGTGCGATAGTGCCACTTGGCTATTCAATTAAAAAGCAAAAATATTAATTCCATAATTTACTTTATTTATGAAAAACAACAACTTAATTCTTTCAACAAACATATTTTTATGGACCAACATTGCAAGTATGGTTACTCTATGACTTAATGTTTACAACCCAACACAAACATCTAAAATTGCGTTTCTTTTTGAATGTCTCAATTTAATTCAATATACTTATTTCAGCTTAAAAGCCTTAAGCATACATGTATTTGGCCTTTTTGAAGTCTATTTCCTGGAACATACATGCACTTTTGTCTAATGTGGAAACGTGACTGAGCCCTTAGAGAGAGTCAAAACAATGACCCCAAGGTTAAGAGACAGACACCTTAACCACTAGACCACAGCTCCCCTTGGTATAACCAAGATCATGCCATAGGCAATACTGGCTCTCTGTTACTAAGTAAAGAATTAAAAAATCTAATTCTCTTATTGCAAAGTTTTCAAAACATACATGTACACTAATCTTTATAATATACAAAATTTACTTTAATTTGATTGTGTCATAAGCTATAAGTTAATTAAATAAATTATAAACAAACATTCAAATCCAGGCAACAAAGGACCCTTTGATAACCCTTTTGATAACTATAATGCGGAGAACTTTGAATAAAGATGATGAGTTGAACTTAAAGTTACTTTTAAACAATTCTTAAACGGATCTGTCAAAGTTCAAAAGAGTCAAATAGAAATTTTGTTAAATCAAGAGACATAGATAACATAAAAAGTTATCTACATCTCTGGTTAAGTTTACAAAGGTATATTAATTATTTTCTAAATCTTAGTTATGTGTCTTGGTATTTTAAACAATTCGTACATTGAGTAATAACTGTTTTGCACTAAAGCCAAGTTTTATATTTTCATAAAAATGTAATATACAAGTTATTAATTACATAACTACTGACTAGCATTTGATTACCCTATGTATCACAAACTGCTACAGAGAACTAACCTATAAAGGTAAACTGAAATTACAATATGTTTTATGCTTTCTGTTTTTCATGAAATGGTTTCATGAAGTGGCTATAGAAGCTACGGGTATCAAATAAATCACATAAAACCTAACAGGACAAAAAACGAGTTTGGTCATGCCACTCACTGTACACGTCTTTTATAAGTGATACAACTTTGCGATTTTTCTTTAAGTTGGATATAAAGAATCAACTTGCTAGCATGAATTAAGTTTTAGTTTGGCACATTATTTTAAATGTAATCACATTCTTCTTAGCGAGTGAGACAGCTTTCTGTTGTTGTTTTTTACTCGACAATTGTAACATGTTTCCTGTCCAGTCTCAGTGGTAGATCAAACAAACTGTCCTTCCTCGATAAATAACAACCAATTCCTCTGCAAGTGACTTACTACTAATCACACATGATTTCTGAATCAGTCATAAGAGACAAATGACCATTAGAATCATTGTCACAAATCAATTATCACAGAAATATTACGCCTCGATCTAGGATCGAAAAAGTGAGCCATGGATTACATGTACTAATCTGATGCTCCCTATTAACCTAAGCACACAGTCAGGTACATGTAGCATTCATACATTATATGTTAGGAGATCTAACAGAACACATCCAATTAAGCTCGGCATGAAATATAATAGGACTTTTAACAATTAATAATTTTTATGCGACTGTAAACATGTACTTGTATTATGTGCTATGTACGCATGACATAATTATGTAGAGTACTATGTTATGTGTAGAACTCTTGAATTATGTATAGAGAACTCTTATGTGTTGTGCTGTCGAAAATATGGAGAGCTTTCAAATTTTATGTAGAGCCCTCAAAATATGTGTAAAGTCTCATATGTACAGCCCTAAAATTATGTGTAGAGCTCTCAAATCATATGAATAGGTCAGAATTATGTGTAGAGCTCTAAAATTATGTCAAGAGCTCTAAAACTATGTGTAGAGCTTTAAAATTATGCGGAGAGCTCTAGAATTAAATGTTGAGCTCTTAAACTATGTGAAGAGCCCAATATAAATTATATGTAAAGCTTTAAAATTTATGCAGAGAGCATTAGAATTAATTGAAGGGCTCTAAAACTATGTGAAAAGCTCTCAAATCATGTGAAGAGGTCAAAAATTATGCCAAGAGCTGTAAAGTTAAGTGAAGAGCTGTTAAGTTATGTGAGGAGCTCTGAAATTAAGTATAGATCATGTTAGAAGCTCTAAGATTATATGTACAGCCCTCAAATTATATGAAGAGCACTAAAATTATGTGTAGGGATCTAAAATTATGTGAAGAGCTGTAAAGTTATGTGAGGAGCTCTAAAATTAAGTGTAAAGCTCTAAAACTATTGACAATTTATTAACCTTGAATACAAAACATATTTGGCAAATTGATTTATTCATATCAATAAAAACATGTATTCACAGTAAAAAAACCATAATATTATTATTAACATATTAAATATTTCTTCATTAATTTTATTTACCCTAAAACCTTTATGTATTTCATACATAAGAAATACATAACAATTGTCAAGAAGTGATGCCTTACAATATGTGTTTTTTAAAATATGTGCTTTTAAAACACAAATACCTTCATAAACAATGTGTTAAAAAAAGTTAAAATGGCAAAAATTTCATAATTTTCGACTTTGAATGCCAAGGTCATTCTGGGGATGACAACATATTTAATCATGTCAAAGGTGAAAATATTCTCGCTATATGAAAGAAAATGTAATGACCAAGATAAATTGTTGGACTGCTGGTGGCAACTGAATCCACCCATGGGACGTATTCAGACCAAGATCAGAATAAAATTGACTCCCAGTCTAATCATGATCTGCACTGTTCCCTATCCTAGCAGAACAAGTTTTCACTCAAAATGATAAAAGGTTTTGTCATAATTGAAAGGTTGATGAGTCCATTTAAAATATTTAAAATATATAGCATGATAGAAAGGGTTATATTTGAATATCTGAATACAAAATTTTAATGAGACAAAAAATATATGCCCCTGCATCTGTTTATGTTGGGGCAAGAACTTGTTTCAGTTTTTTTCCTATAACAGGCAGTTGTAGGATATATCCATCTCAGAGCCATCCTTCACACTTGTGTATTTTTGTATCAACTTTTGAAGTTTTCAAGCAGCAAATCATTTTCTCAACACAAGATGAAAATGTTTTTTCTGTTTACATGTACAATGTATATATTCCCTATGATTTCACTATATACTATCTATTTTCGAGCGATTCTAAGTTCCTTTGTCTGAAGAAATGTTTAAAATGTTCGTATGTACTGATCATGATGGCACAAGCTGGAGCTACTTTCATCACCCTTGGTGCTAAGCCTGCAATGTAAAACATATGTTTTTATTACAATGATAGTTGGGTATAAGGCATGAAAAAATATGATTTCTTAATAAGTACTATTTATTACATGCTTTTTATTGGTTTATATAAATATATCGATGAAATAAAAAACAGTTTGAAACTGTTTGAAACAGTGAAATTATTAATTTGATATTTTTCACTGTTTTGAATTTCATCCTGTTATGTTGTTTCAATGAAATACCAGCCTGCACAGTACTGGAAACCAACTTAATGTATCGTCGTAAATGACATCACATTGCATTACTATTTGGCACGCTTTTTATTCAGTATTAAGTTAAAATGTCTTTTTAAGCGTTTCTCTGCATATAATAAAAAGAAAATACAGTTAAACTTCGTTCGCTCGAACTCGGATCGCTCGAATACCTCCCATCGCTCGAACTCATCGCCCAGTCCCGGCAAAATTCCTATATAATATATACTGTTCTACCTCGGATCGATCGAACACCCATCGCTCGAACTCTCGAACCTGATCTCCGGTCCCTTCGACAGGAATAAAGTGTAAATCACACCTTTTCGGTCGAACTCAAACAAACAACAAAAGTTGCGGGTCGACATGTTCTAAATAATTGACAATCGGCGACACATGTTTTTAACACCTCGTGATCGTAACAAAGGCAATTATGGTTAATTGATACAAAATAAAAGGTGTTTTACCGATTTGTTTGTTATGATACAATTGTTTATTTGCCGTCTTAAGTAACGATAAAAAGAAAGTAACTCCTGAAATGCCCAAAGTAAATAAATAAGTAAATGACGTTTACCCGGACGGTTTTTATAACAACCGTGGTTCATGTAACGTGAATTGTAACAGTGTAATCTATTTATAGAATAATACTTGTACTAGTGTTTATTTTAGTAAATAACTACAAATAGATGCTGCTGTAAAATGTTGTTTTTTAATATTTTATCGATTCATTGTTTAAAATAAAATTTATCCCATAATAAACTTTAACACTGTTCACAGTTTAGATAATGATCGCCCGATCGAACACAACCAATTACAATATTTAATACCGTGCACCTTAATAGTGTTTTCAATAGGATAATAATTCTTAATATGACGTATTCGACAAACAGACGTACTAAAAAACAGTTACATTGACGTATTTATCATTTGACCGATATAAGCTGGAAAACCTTAAGCCTATTTTCTATGTAATTATTGTTCAACCTCGGTTCGCTCGAACTACCGATCGCTCGAACAAATTTGCATAGGCCCTCCGAGTTCGAGCGAACGAAGTTCGACTGTATACCCTTTTGGTGCTAGCTCAGTGAAATATATCTCAAATCTTTCACTTAACTTATAAACAAACATCCTCTGTCTTAACAAGTACCAATTATAACACAACTCTATAAAGATGCTCGTAAACCGATTAATCTTTGTAAGATTGGTCAAAAAAAAAAACAAGTTAGAAATGATGGGTCCAGATTGCTTACGTAAAATAAATTCCTAGAAAAAAGTCACAATTGATTTAATACATACGTAGGTCACATTTAAGGTCATTCATTATCAAATTTTGTTTTCACACTCTAAAAAGCTGAATAAGACCCCTAAAAACTACAAATTTTATTATTCATAAGGTTTATATCTTGACTGACAGAATGAAAAAACCACAAAAATATGCCCCACGGCACTTAATAATGTTACATCTGTGAAAGTTTGGATAAAATCCCTGGAGAAATAAAGGACCCCATCAAAAGAAGTTAATTCATAAATGCAATTATCAACCTACTGACAGTCAACAGTTTTCAATTGGTTTCAGAAAAAAAAAATCTGATGCCTTCTTGTAACACAAGTCAGACTGATATCATTTGACATGTGAAAATTTTAAGATGACATGCCATGATCAACATTTCAATCACAAATGACATTCTGAATATATACATAATGAATAAAGCGCAACCGTTTTCCTTGCATTTGCATTAAGTCAGGAAACTTATATTAAAGGAACTCCACTGAAGTCCACAAGCCTAAAACATAACATTTGAATTTCTTACATAGATCAGCTGGGACACTTACAATAGAAAGATAGGAAAAAATAATTCATAAATATACTCAGAAATGAATTGAAAATCATACTTTTGTGCTGTTCTAAGACCAATTTGCGTGAAAAGCGTTGCAGCGATTCTCAATTTTAGGTCATTTTACACCTTAAGAATAATAATTCTGGAAAAAATTATGTGAGCGTATGGTCTGAAATTTTGCATTTAAGTTATATGTCTAGACCTAGATCAAATGGAACACTTCTCTTGAAAAATTAAGTCTCCTGTCACGTCTTACAAGCTCAGTGGAGTCCCTTTAACCCTTACTCTGCTTGAAATGAATGTGATTGGTTCTTGCCACCAGTATAGACCCAGACAAGTCTGCACATCTGTGCCGTTTGAACAGGCTGTACACTGTTGATAGCTCAACTTTTGTATTTTGATATTGAAATACCTTAAGTGGCGGCATGGCCAAGTGGTTAACGCATTGCATTAGTAATCAAAGGGTTGCTGACAGTCTGCGTTCAAACCTGTTAGGGGCAAGCCGTTGTTTCTTTGAGCAAGAAACTTTACACTCATTGCTTAGTACTAGTTGAATTCAGGAACGGAGAGCGTTTCAATAAGCTTATAGCTTCTAACACAATCAAACTAAAATTAATTTGTATTAACCAAATACCTTAAAACTTTGAACTGTTCTAAATTCAAAGCTGGACATAATATTTCATGGTAAAAGTTTATATTACTCCTACAAGCAGCTTTGTCACCAAGATAATAATAATAATTTGCTTTCTCTGATCTATAAAAACATTTTACCTGAGAATAATGCCTTTATTCCTTGCTGCCTGTACAAGTTCTGTATCAACTTCCAAGTAGAACTAACCTGTTTCTTCTCTGAAATAAAAGTATGAGAAAACACAAATATTATATAATATCAGTAGAAAAACTAAAAGACTTTAAAGGGACTCCACTGCAATTTTTTGACATGGTGGGACTGAAGATATTTTTTTGAGTTTAATGTTCCATTTGATGAAGGCCAAGACCAATAACTTGTAAGCACTATTTCAGATCATTTGCTGACTCTGTTTCTCTACAATAATTATTCTAATTGTGAAAAATATTACCCAAAATTCTAACATGACCCAAATTTTTCCCTATTAAACATAGAAGAACCGAAAGTGTGTATTATTATGCAACAAAATCACCGTTTGGCATTCTATAATTAGACAGCTGACGTAACCACTAAAAACGCAATGTGCTGAAAATAAGTACGGAAGCAAATCAGGGGCAACTTAGCTTAATAATCAGGTATGGTAGCATTTATTTGTTGATGTCGTGTGAGAATTGAAATTATATATCAAAATTGGTGATTTTATCACTCAATTAAATCACCGTTTGTCGTTCGGATGCGCATCATTATATCACTAGGGCTACACCCTCGTGAAATAATTCCTCGTATCCGAACTCCAAACATTGATTTTAAATCACAGTTTGTGATATATTATTCTTAATTTAAAAGTCTAACACTTTGGGCTAAGAATTGCACAAAAGTGCAATTTTCAATTTATTTCTAAGCATATTTTAAATTATTTTTTCAAATAGCTTTCTGTTTTTAAATGCCTAAGCTGATTTTCTATATGAATTAAAAAATTTATGTTTTTGGGCTTTTGAATTTCAGTTGAGTTTCTTTAACTCCTAAATTACTACACTCACAGCAAATATGTAAACCTGAATTTCAGTGCATACAAATCATATATATAATATTGGTCTTAATTCAAAGATTCAGAATCTCAAAAGTCTTGTTTACTATCTCCTTTCATTCCTGGATTTTTTATCTTGACACCTAGGTCAGAATTAGTTAGTGTATAAATTGTTTCTTTTGGTTAGATCGACAAAAATGTGAGTAAATTGTAGCAAAATCTCAAAGGGATAAAATGTAATCAGATTTATCCGAATATACCAATAAAAAAGTGAAATTTGCCCATTTTAAGTCCATGTTAAGTTTTTTATTTTGCTGAGTGTTGTTTGTTTACATGGTTGACAGCTTGTGTCTTGTCTTGGCTTTAAAGTATGAACTTCTTAATAAAGTTTGTCCGAGTAATCTTAGCATCCAGCCAGAACTATCACTTCACTTAACCCTGAACATGCTGAATATCTTAAATGGACTTGTCCCACTTCCACTTTTAGGACTGTCCATTATCAATTTTAGGGATATCAATTCTAATATTCAAAATTTGTCAGCCAACAGTATAGAGCCTGGTCAGACTGCACGTATGTGCAGACTGGCCTGGCTCTATACTGGTGGCAAAGACTTAATGCTTTCGGATCCAGCACTTAAAGGGTTAAATGTGATTCATATTTCAACCATAGTCCTTCATAGAAGCTGGCATGGTTAGGTGGGAAAAGAGAGTACCATCAAGTTTGGGAGGGTATAAGAGACTTATCAAAAAGAACATTTCTTTAGCAAGAAGAAATGCAACATTCTATAGGTATACTGGTGCCTCATATTTCCGTGGTACTTAACTGTTTACACAGACAATAAAAGTTAGAAGAATAAAATTCTGGAAAATATGTTGAATATTGTAGGAAAGACATGTCAATTACATCGTAGATAATTACATTTAATGTTTGCATGTAAACAATTATGTATACAACATGGCAATAAACACCCATCTGCTGCATAGTGAGTAAAGATGTGTTCTCGTATTTCCAAGGCAATTACATTTTAAGAGTTTCAAAAGGAAAAACCAATAGTAATCTTTATTTTTTTGCATATTTATACCTAGCCTCGTCTGAAAGTGGGGATTTTCTCTATAGCATTTATCAAAAATCTCAATGGTTGTTTAACAAAGACAATTGCCTTGAAAGGTATGAAAAGTAAAATTAAAATGGCAAAATAATTTACTTTGCTCTTAATTTTTATAAAATAATAAGTTTTCTCAGTCATATATGTAACATTTTGATAAAAAATACAATAAAAAGGTAAAAGTAAAACTCCTGACAGGTGCATGAAGTCTAGGAGGCACTTGAGGCTGTTTATGCCTAATACCTTGGAAATATGGGTACCACGGAAATATGAGGCACCAGTATACTAGTAGCAAAAGATTTTTAATTTCTAAAATCAAACTTGAAACAGGTAACAAAATAACCTTTAAAGCAATAGTAGAGCAGAAAAAGTTAATTAACGATGCCACTACCATCAGCAGAGTTGGCCATGAGAATAGCCCTGGTTTCCCCCCTAAAACACTGGAGCTAACAGAGGGCGTATCCTTGTCAAAATAAAGGAAAACCTATAAAACCTTGTAGAAGAAAAACAAGCATGAATTTGATATTTTGCTACTTAGAAATCTACAAACCTTTGGCTAATGTGACTTCTCCCAACTCTATTTGTCTATGTGTCTTGATTACATCAAACGGTAAGGTTACAACACCAGCAAGCTGAAATATTTATAAGTGAACAAACATTAATTTTGAAAAATTCAAACTCAAAAACTTAATATCAAGAATTTGTTGTTTCTTATGTAAGGGGAAGCAACCTAGCTCAGTCACAAAAGGCTGGTGGTTCCTCTCTGCTTGAAATAATGCATCAACATGCACCTGAGGTCCTTCTGCCCTGGTAAAGCTAGAAGGACCCCATATGACCTTGATTTTGCCAGTGTGACTTAAAATCCATCAAAACAAAACAACAATGTTGGCATGTTTTATATCACCTTCACTTTACAATCAAATACATGATGCCGACAAGCTGTTAGGACTGGACTTTGACCCTTTTCCTGTTGTAATTCTTGTATGAATGCTTCAAAACAATCAATTGTAAAGTTTCTGTAAAATATTGTCATATTAACCCTTTACCGCTTCATTTCCTATATAGAATTGTAAGCATTAATTAGGGACTGGCCATTATTAAATTTGAAGTTATTTACTTAAAATTGTAAGGTTGCTAAGCCAACTGTACCAAGCCTGGTTAGACTGCAAGTATTTGCAGGCTGGCCTGGTTCTATACTGGTTGCAAAGGCTTTTCAATCTAAGGTCTGCTGGTCAAGTGGATTCAAATCCTGTCAGAGGCAAGCCGTTGTTTCTGTGAGCAAGAAACTTAACACTCATTAGGTGTAGTACTGGTTGGTCCTAGGAACAGATTGGAGAGGGTTTCAGTAAGCTTATGGCTTCTAACACAATCAAACTATAATAAATAAGTATAATCTAAAGGCTTTTCACTTTCTGTTTCAGCAAGGTAAAAGCCAGTCAGACTAGAGTGATGTTAACTTGCCAGGCTCCTCTTACAAATGCTATGCAGTTTAGGTTTCAGAATGGTGAAGTATTATCATTAGTACATCATAAAGAACATTGTGTCATCCTTACTACAAAACGCCATGCCTCCTAAATCACTCGCCCCACACTCTCTCTTTTACAATGCATAGAATTAAAATTTAATCTGTCATAGGGGGCCTCACCTGTCCTATATTTTACAAAATAAACAAATGTATACACACTTACTGTTCCAGCACATGCCCCTGACAAAAAACTTTCAAAGAAAGATAACTGCGTACTATTTCTTTCTTTCAATACTTTGCCCTTCATTGTTTCGTAGCTTAACCAATATAATGCTGAAATAAAACATAATTTTTCAACATGCAATAAAAGTTCTCACAAAATAATCTAAGCATATGGCAAAGTAGTCTGTTTTATCCAAAGTTGGTTGTATTGACAGAACAGAATTTTGTTATAATACTTGGAATTAACATATTTCCTTTGTTTATGGTAATCAGTGTCTTTCAAATAGTTGAAATACCCTGTGGTAATTGATGGCATTGTTTTAATATTTTTCCTGTATCAAAACCTATGGGATAACTGACATCATGAGAAACATAAAAGAAACGATTACGATATTTTCAGTATCAATGCAATTACAAACATGTAAAAATTCTGTAATTCCGCACACACATCTTTTGAAGGTAAAGAAAAAGTCAATTACCTGAAAATGGTACATCTCTGAGCAATGTGGGAGACAATCCCCTCCATAATGAGAGGAATCCATCTGTCCGTAACATTCTACGAACAGCTTCATGTACCTGCCTATATGTCAGTTGTTCTGACTGCAGCTTTGTCCGTATCAATTCCAGCGGACTTATCACAGTTGCAGCAAATACTATCAAAATATAAAAGAGGACTGTGTATTAGTAAAAAGGGGGAAAAAAATCACAATTTCTAGCAATCATTCTGACAATTAATGAAAAAGTACCACAAAATGTTTGTCAGGTCTTATTATAAAAGGATCACTTTTGTGAAATAACATTTATATTAAGACTTTAAGATCTGACGGTTCTTAATGATAAGAGTATTCAGACCCGTTGGTTACCATGGCAACCAATTTTCAGAATGAACAAAAATGTAAAAGGGATCACTCTACAGATTTTTTTCCTTTATTTTTCAAGAAACTGACCAAGATATTGTTTTAATGGATGTTGATGGTATGGCAGATATCAATGGCTTGACATGAGGGTATTGTGAATTGTTTAATCACAATGGCTCGACATGAGGTCATTGCAAATTGTTTAATAACAATGGCTCGACATGAGGGTATTGTGAATTGTTTAATCACAATGGCTCGACATGAGGTCATTGCAAATTGTTTAATCACAATGGCTCGACATGAGAGCATTGCCAATTGTTTAATCACAATAGCTCGACATGAGGACATTGTGAATTGTTTAATCACAATAGCTCGACATGACGACATTGCGAATTGTTTAATCACAATAGCTCGACATGAGGACATTGTGAATTGTTTAATCACAATGGCTCCACATGGGGACATTGTGAATTGTTTAATCACAATGGCTTGACATGATGAAATTGTGAATTATTTAATTACAATGGCTCACCATGAGGACATTGTGAATTGTTTAATTACAATGGCTTGACATGATGAAATTGTGAATTGTTTAATCACAATGGCTTGACATGATGAAATTGTGAATTGTTTAATTACAATGGCTTGACATGATGACGTTGCGAATTGTTTATTCACAATGGTTCACCATGAGGACATTGTGAATTGTTTAATCCCAGTGGCTTGACATGAAGGCATTGTGACAAGAAATACTTGGCCAATTGGAGAGAAAATATTGCCTTCTGCTATCCAACCAAAAAAAAATCTCAATAAACATTAAAATATGTATAAAATACAATAATGAAATAATCCAAGAAAGGCTGTCAAAATTAAATGACAGACACAAAAATTTGTTTTTAACATAATTACTTCTTGCACTACTGCCTGCAAGTACGGGAACCCACCACGTGTTCACTGGTGTATTATAGCTATGACCTAGCCCCACTTTTATCTGCTCGTATGTTGTAAAATACACAACTGTTGCAGGCACTGCCATCACTCTGAAAACAGATTATCAATAACATTTTCCTCAGACAAATTTACATCACACCTTTTTTCAACTTATATTCTGCCTTCACAACTTTAAGGGTGGTGTAAAATTCTTACAATATGTTTTTTTTTGCATTATATTTGGCCCAATTTAATGAGTAGAGCCACTGTATATCAGTAACCCAGCTGAATATAGCTGACACACATGAGAGAAAAAAGCTGGAAAGGCACCATTCTGATGTAAGTAAAATGTATCTAATTACAAGATACCAAAGTTTTAACAAAATTTGAGAAACTTTATAAAACTATTTTCAATATAAAAAGTGTAAGAAAGTACAATTAAAACCATCAACAACAAGATCTGTCAGCAGACTGCATGCAGACCACTCTTCTCAGTGCTGTGTACCTGTACATTGTTGTTAAATAAAAGCAACACAGATTCTCAGTACTGTGTACCTGTACATTGTCGTTAAATAAAAGCAACATAGATTCTCAGTACTGTGTACATGTACATTGTCGTTAAATAAAAGCAACACAGATTCTCAGTACTGTGTACCTGTACATTGTCGTTAAATAAAAGCAACACAGATTCTCAGTACTGTGTACATGTACATTGTCGTTAAATAGAAGCAACACAGATTCTCAGTACTGTGTACATGTACATTGTTGTTAAATAAAAGCAACACAGATTTTCAGTACTGTGTACCTGTACATTGTCGTTAAATAAAAGCAACATAGATTCTCAGTACTGTGTACATGTACATTGTCGTTAAATAAAAGCAACACAGATTCTCAGTACTGTGTACCTGTACATTGCCGTTAAATAAAAGCAACACAGATTCTCAGTACTGTGTACATGTACATTGTCGTTAAATAAAAGCAACACAGATTCTCAGTACTGTGTACATGTACATTGTCGTTAAATAAAAGCAACACAGATTCTCAGTACTGTGTACATGTACATTGTCGTTAAATAAAAGCAACACAGATTCTCAGTACTGTGTACATGTACATTGTCGTTAAAGAAAAGCAACACAGATTCTCAGTACTGTGTACATGTACATTGTCGTTAAATAAAAGCAACACAGATTCTCAGTACTGTGTACCTGTACATTGCCGTTAAATAAAAGCAACACTGATGGTGTCTCTGTCATACTTTTCTAGCAAAAATAAATGAATCACATATACATGTATGTAAGTGTTTTTTTTCACTTTTGGGGGAAGGGGGTCAGTGTCCTTTGGAGGGGGGAAAATGCAATAGGTGGGGGATTTGCTTTTTCTTGATATATGGATCTTAAATACAGATGCGTCACATGTTAAACTTGTTGGGACACCAGGAGTAGCTCCCCTTACCTACCTGAGAATGATTTGTAAACAACCTTCCTTAACAGTCAGTGTAACAGGCATAAAATAAAACAGTTTTCGGCAGTTAGTTGCAAAAAAAAAAGATATTCATTGCTGTCACTGTATAGGGGGAAATTTCGGCTTTGAGGGGGGAAAAAACATTCTATTTTGAGGGGGGAATGGGGTCAAATTTCGCTGATTATATTGGTGAAAAAAAAACAATGCATGTACAGGTTCATTTATTCTTGAACTTCATTTGCTCTTAAGTTTAACAGAGAAGACTGTTTGTTTGTTTCATTTTACGCCTTTTCCCAACAGTATTTCAGTCATATAGGCGGGTAGTTTCCTAACCATCGTTTCTGGAGAGTTACAACAGTACTAGACTACCTTCCCCCCGTGCTAAACTATCAAAGCCTCTCCCGGGGATCTAACCCACGCCAGAGAGGTAACTGGATTAGAAGTCATCGACTCTAACCCCTCAACCATGGAGGCGGTCTATATAAAGGAGACTAACATGGAATTTCCAGCCTAATGCACTATGTTGGGAGTACATTGTAGTATGCTAAAAATAGCATTCTAAATAAAGAGTACATCCTTGCTTAAACATGAGGATCTGAATTTGATCTGTAAAACAAAGCATATCCTAAGGTACAATATGTTAAATAAATAGCATGTCAGTCAAATAGTTCAATAAACAAGAAATGTGTATATAGGTCACTGTATTAGATGTCCCAACATTCCACTGGCTTTTTCAGTCCATGCATGATCAGTTAAATTTATACTTCCCCACCCTGTCAATAAGTTACAAATATGAACTTACAATGTAGGTGGTAGTCCACTCCATAATGAAGTTATTCCTTCATTTCTCCCTATAGTTAAAAATGCATCCTGAAATTATGAACAAGAAAATATTATCATACATATCGAGGATTAGCCGCAACACTGAAATAACTTATATGAAATAAAGAAGGACTTACAACAGTTTTGCGATCAATCCTTGATAACAATTCTCAAAACACTGTTGTTTCCCTAAAAATGTATTACTTGATCTAGCAATGATCTAGAACATTATTTCACAATTTTTGTGGGTTTGAAAAATGATTTTTCACACTTAATAAAGTAAACAATATTCAGACTTCTTGTTTTTAAAATTCTTGATGGCCAGCTGACTAGATAAGCTGATTTTTTAAGAATACCGGAAAACTCAAGATCTCCATACAACTTTATCATGCAGAGTGTATAACAATATTCAAGATTTTGTTTTGCTACATCCGAGTTCTTGCTCAATCAATTTTTAACCTATTGTTTTTTTAAGTCTTTATTTTACAATATTCAAGATATTATTTCATTGTTTATGAATTTTTTTTATTCTTTATCATTTGAGTAATTTTACACTATTTCTGTGTAGCTGTGGTAGTGTTGGTGGTGTTGGTAGTTTTCACTCCGGATCACGATAGTAAGCCACATTGAATTTACCAGAATACAGTTCAGCCACCTGGGCAGACTGTCAAGCAGTTTACCAGTTCTAGTTGCCTTCACTTTTGCAAGGAACTGATTACTTCTGTACATGTAAGAGCAGAGGTACAGTGTGAATGACCGTAGAAAGGATTTCATGATTAATCACAACCAAAGTCACCTGCGCTGTCCAGGAATCGAAACAAGGTCAACTTATTCACAGTCCAACACTCTACCTATTGAGCTAACCGGACGCCTGTTTCTGTGAAGCTCATACCTAAACAGGATACTATTTCTACATACTAAATTTGTCAAAGTTTCATGCAGGGTCCTTAACTTTCTATTAATTTATGTGTATATAAAAAACTTACAAATACTCCATTGAAGTTGCCAGGTCTTTTATACCAGTTTTTCTTCCATGTTATATTTTCATTCATAGAAATATTCACACTGTTGCCATTGAGACATACACAGGTATGATCCATCAATCCATTACAGTATAAATAACAATGTCCCTTCGCGAAAGCCTGTGGTTTGCTCTGAGCTTGCATCCTTATCTTTACCACATCAAGGGGTGTAACTGAAATAAGACAATAATACATGTATATTACAATAATGAAAAGAACTTAATCACATCAAGGGGCGTAACTGAAATAAGGTTATCGTACATGTATATTACAATAATGAAAAGAACTTAACAACATCAAGGGGCGTAACTGAAATAAGTTTTTTTTGTTTGTTTGTTTTGGGTTTTACGTCACATCGACACAGTATAGGTCATTTGGCAACATTCCAGCTTTACTGGTGGAGGAAGATCTCAGGTGCCCTTCCGTGCATTATTTCAGGCACGTACGGGCACCTGAGTAGAACCACAGACATTCCGTAAGCTAGCTGGATAGCTTCATCATATGAAAGAATCTAAAGTCCTTGTCGGGATTCGAACCCACAGCAGTGAGGGGCAAGTGAAATTAGGTAATCATACATGTATAATAGATAAGAGAACTTATTACCACATCAAGGGGCCTAACTGTTATAATATAATCATACATGTATATTATAATAATGGAAAGAAGTTAAGTCTTAATCACATCAAGTGGGCTTAACTGAAATGACATTTATATAACCATACATGTATATTATAAGATTAACAAGTCTAAAATATCAAAACAGTGCGTTCTGCTTCTATTACTAGGTGACCATGTGATTGTTTGTTGGAGTTATCTCTCCAACCAGCTATCTGTTTAGCTTTCATTGTGGATATGGTAAACAATATAGTCAAAATATTTTGACATGCAAAAGCCCAGCTGTAGGTGACTCACGCAGGGGGCCCATACAGCTAGCCATTTCATTTTTTTTAATACTCCTGTTTCACTGTTAGAGATAAACAACCGGTGACGGGCATGTATTTTAACAAGTCAACATATATTGACATGCCAAAGCTAGATTCTGAAATATTTTGTTCTGGGTCAGAATAACGCACCATGTTGATTTTGTCATGACACGGCTCAAATAATGTTGATTTCGTTTTCATAAGTTTATTGTATACAAGTTCAACTCATGAAAAATAACATAGTGGTCTGATCCAGGGAATTGCAAAAGTAAATCTTATAGAATAAAGTGCAAATTTTATACTCATTTTACTTGATCAAAATGTTGTTTTATCAGTTTATTTTCCTTACCAAAAAGAGATGTTAAAATTGCTCCTGAACATGATGAAATCATTCGCTGACCGGGTGTCAGACCTCCGTCCGATGTTCTACTGCTGTCACTCATTTTACACCAGTCCTGATCATATTTAGAGAATATATGTTACAAATCTGGAGTGTCCTTCACATGCTGTAAAATTTATTAGAGTAGTCTCCCTTCAATAACCGATTGCGTAATGCTTATAAATTCGCTGTTGTCTCCCCTGATATCAGGTAATAGAACACTAATGAATTTCCTGCTTTAGTTTTAACCAGGAACGTATATTATTAACACGTATACCTGGTTTTAAATTGTGCATAAGTTTTTGCTTAAAAAAAGTACTATACTTACTTGTGTGTTATGGATATATATAATATTTTTTTCAATATTTTGGCTGCATTTGCATCGGACATAAGATACCGAATATGACTTACAAATATGTTTTATAAATTGATTTTTTATTAACTTTTCTTGATACGATGTTTTATATAATAATAAAATGATATTACATGCAAAAAATCTTCAAATTTGGTCCATAAATAAAAAAGTTTTGTAAGTTATATTCGTTGCGTTTTCTATAAAAGTCATATCCGTGAAGGACGGAATTCAAAGATACCGAATATGATTTATCGTATCGATTTATTCAAGGAATAGACATATACACATACAATTTTATCACAGATATCAACTTCATATATATATAAAAACACAAACATAAATGCAACAAAAATAATATATTTTAGAAAGTTTCTGTTGCTTTTTTCTTGATACGATATTTTATAATAATAAAATGTAATTACATGTACATGAAAAATCGTAAATTTTGGTCGATAAATTAAAATGTTATATGTTATATTCGTTTTACGTTCGTGGAGGACAGAATAATATACCGAATGTTTTCATTTTTTTTTTGTATTTTTTTATGTCACATTATTCATAAAGTTTAAATAATAAAACATGCAATAAAATCGTTAAATGACGTCCGTAAATGAAAACAATTACAAGTTATATTCGTTGCACGTTCTAAATAAAATTCATATCCTTGGCGGAAAGAAGATACCGAATTACATATTTTGCACGCTCTGTATAAAAGTCATATCCGTGGCGGATTGAAGATACCAAATATGACTCGTTGTAAATTATTCTTTTTTTGTATGTTTTTAACTTCATTTCATTTACATTATTTATAAAGTTGAAATAATAATACATTAAGCAAATCGTTAAATTTGGACCATAATTAAAAAAGTGTTAGGTTTCTTGTTCAATATAAAAGTCATATCCGTGGCCGATAGAATATACCGAATATATGACTCGTTATCAGCTGAAATAAATAATACATGCAAAAATAAACGCTGAATGCAAGACGGGCGATTGCATCATAAAAATATATATACATGTAAAGTCATCGTTGGCGCATCACATTTCCTAAATTAATCTTTGTTTGAGAGCGTTCAGTTATAACATTTCGCAACAGTTCTGTATAAATAAATAATTAGGTTTGATTCATATTGCGAAATGTAATATCCAGGCCACACCACGGAGAGGGACATATATAGTTTTTTATGACGGGAAAACGGACTGGCGCCGTTACTAGGGCACATGGAAATACAGTGGTTCGATTCTTGGGCAGATATAGTTAAAGATATACAAACAATAAATAAACAGAAAAGAAACAAGTTTGAAAACAAAAAGTCATATTCGGTATCTTCAATCCACCACGGATATGATTGGCCAATAACAGTTGAAGAACGTCTAAATACTGATAATGAGCATAGTAATGTGCAGAAACTCAAGTTGGTGAATTAACATAAGGGAATGTTTCCCGTATATAAGGACATAAACCATTCTTAGTAGTGAGCGACAGGGTTTGTGTTACTTAAAACGTTATGTACACTGATACTGAAAACTGTTGACTAGGATAAAAATCATAGCACAGAAGGCGCTGAATTTGTTTGGGTCTCAGAATGTAAAAAAGGTGAAGGTTGTGAGATTATAAAACAATTTGTTTTTGTATAGTGCTACCAATGCTTTGCAGCGTTTTAATTGTAGTAGATTGGCTATAAGACTAATTGCAACACTGATATTCGGTCCAATGTGTATTTGACTTAAACAATTTGAAAAAAAAATGAGTTGCCTTAACTCGGATTTGAACTCCAGGCCTCGTGTTCACAAAGATTTAAGGATCAGGATCAAGATCAGGATCAAAAATAAAAACTCAAATATTCTCCATTATTTTTCCTCATAGATTAAATATTCAATATTAAATTGATGAAACTGGACTTAAAATAACATGATTATGAAAGTTTAGAATAAATTTATTGTTATTTTTACAAGAAATGGGCATTTTACAGTTTATCCAAATTTTGATCTTGATCCTAAAATTGATCCTCATTTTGATCCGATTATTTTTGTATTTGTTTTGTTATTAGTTGATTTTATCCCAAAATAGGTTTGTTTCTTTGCAAATAAGCAATTATTTACAATTCGAATACGTACAATTTAATTCTAGCATAATACAATCAATTTTAGTTGTATAAAACAATGAAAATAAAATCAGGATCACCTGATCCTTATCCTGATATTTTCTTTGTGAACACGGGGCCAGACATCTCGCTTCCTAGGCGAGCGCGCAAACCCCTCGGCCACGGTGAATTTACATGTTAACGGCATGAAGAAAACCATATTATTCTAGTTGGGGTTGGTAACGACGCTAACTGTTGTTTAACACTTGTGTAAATAATCATGGCGCTTACTATAAGCATGTATATCTATAAAGAATAAAACAATATTAGAAATCTCCGACCATTCGGGAATTATTTTGCTTGAAAATTAATCCGCCTGTCATGTGACCATATTTACGCAGTGATCTCCCCTAAATTTTTCAGCCTCAGTGTTACATATAAAGGGAAGTAACCGCTTGAAAAAAGCGGACTTCTTTCGGCACTCGCAATTAACAGCATTAGAGTCTGAAATTTCGCTACCATTATTTGTTTGGTCTGACGACCCAAACAAATAAAAACTACCTAAATTGTAAGACTGGTAACTCATTTTAATAGTTGAATGCTACTGATAAATACTTATATAAAATTATAAAACATTTGTGGGTCATATGTATCATATTGATTAATTTTGCATAAAATTTAGCACATAAAATTATGTCGACGTGTTAAGTTATTTTCACTCATATTTAACTCTCGGATGGACATAATGTCACTTTAAAGGGAGACGCAGGCACAATTTTCATTTCTTCGTTTTGATTTAACTAATTCATTATTCTGTAAATGTTTTCAAAATAAATACAATATGTAGTTTTAGGAAAAAAACTTTACTCCTTATAAAAAATAAAATGGTGGTTTCCTAACCTGACCAACATGGGTCAGTTTAGAGCATTAAGATTCCGTAATAGTTGCCACAGTGTAATCTGGAAACGTTAAAGAAAATGTCAAATGAATGACTTAGACTCGTTTCAATCATACAATATCCACGATATCTGCTATTGTAACTTGGAGCTTGTAAAGTTTTTTTTGTAAATCAATTTATTAATTATGTAAGAACATTTTTAATAAACTAGTTATAGTGTTTGTAATATTGCCGAGAACAATAGTTCATTTTCAAGAACAGTTCTTAATTGAATAGAATTTTAAAGAATCAAACTTAATTGTTGTACACTACTTGCATTAACATAAAATGAAAAGTAGATTAATGGTAGACTAAAATGACAATGTTATTATACGAAATAAAGCCAAAAGAAATAGGTAACTATCCACTCATTCTCAGAAAACAACGACATTTAATAAATTTTAGAATTGAAAAATGAACTTTTTAAAAAGCATGGAAAGAAACGTAATTTATTACATACGAATGAATGAAATAATGAGAAAAATTGATGAAATAAAATGCGTTTTTTTTAATTTTCACTGTAAAAGTTTATTTGTCACTGCAGTGGAACATATTTCCCGTATTTTCACTTGTTTTGCCGAACCGGACAACTGTCTTATAAATTCAGCAGTGTACTGTATACCGCCACTTGTGAAATATTCATTTTCACTCCACTCGATAGAAATAAATCTTGGACTTATAGAAAACTTGAATATCTCTATTTATTGCATAGAAGTAGGCCTCTATCCCACTTGTTGTGGTGTTGAAAATTAAAAGCTTTTTGTTTGCTATTGATAGAATTTAGTTACTTATTACATAATATCTTTAATGTTCTTAGTTTGCTCTGGAGTACTCTTTAATGTGATAAATCTAATGAGATGACACCATCCTTTGAATGCAAAGGGAAAAACACAAATGTTGAATAAAATTAAGTCAACCACATTTTTAATGAACTAAGTTTTTATTAACACTTAACTAAAAGTTACTTAAAACTAAACAAGTTTACAATAATCACTTAAATATAAGCTGTTCTTATTTAACCAAAAATATGCTAATAAGAATAAAGTTTAAAACCAGTTAAAAGTTGTTAAAAATGTAATAACTGGAAGTATAAAAAATAAACCTTAATGAATCTGTGCTATTAAACTAATGAATCTGAAAAATAGCAAGCCCTGTTTTAATCTTAAAATTAACAAAAACTAGAACTATCACTAAATGTGATTAATACCCCCACAAGACTGCTTCGGAAATGAGGATGTTACTAGTAACAGAATACCTTGTAAAAGAATTGAAATATAGAGTTATGGTTGTGGGCAATTAAAGATAGTTGTGGTTCTTATATGTTGCATTTCCTTTCAATGTGGTTGGCCATTGATGAAGTTTAATTGAATTACTCTGTAATAAGTCCAGAAAGACAAAGAAAATGAACAAAGGGCAATAACTCTATAAATACTGAAGATATAGTTATAGTTCTTGTGCACTGCACTTCCTCTTATTGTGCTTGATCATTGTATGAAGTTGTTTTGAATTCCAACCAGTAAGTTTTAAGTTATGCTCCTGACAAGGAAAAGTATCAAAGGGAAGTAACTCTGTATTTTGTCAAAATGTAGTTATGGCTCTTGTGCACTGCACTTCCTTTTAATGTCCTTGACAACTGTATGAAGTTGTATTGAATTCCAAATAGTAGTTTTCAAGTAATGCTCTGGACAAGGAAAAGTAACAAAGGGCAATAACAGTATAATTAGTCAAGATAGAGTTATGGTTCTTATGCACTGCACTTC